CTGGCTCAGCTGGACCTTTTTTTTTTAAATAATACGTAAGATTTTTTTTCTAAAGTAAAGGTTTGTCATGCATGATATTGAGGAATCCCGCACATTTATATACTGAAGCAAGAGGTCAATAAAATGACTATTAATAGAGCTGCTAATAGGACATTGGTATTCGCGTTCTCCAGATTCTGCATTGAAGGTGAAGGTTACGTCCAGGCATCGAAGTATTGGAACTGGTCACGAAGTGAAGACCTCGCATGCAAACCACTTTCTTTCCCTTCACTCATTCTTTCTCATGCAATCCCTGTCTTCCTTACAATGTCGTCTCTCAGTGCGCCAAATCCTGAATGGGCCTGAGACTGTCATCGAATCTTAATAAATCCAGGATGCAGTGTGTAGGAGGCTCAGAGGATAATGAAATTAGTCGTGGGTGAGGATGAATCCCCCACTAATTGGACTATGATTGCCAGAGACCTGGATACGTGCTCAGCTCTATGAGGTGTGTAATTGCTCCTCTTGTTGAGTATCTTCTGTCTTTCCATAGGAGAGGGCTTCCTGGAACTCATTCTGTTCTTCATTGACCGAAAGAAAAGAAACAGCGGTTCACCCTATATGCCCGGTTCACTCTCCGCTCTCTCTTCCTGCCGCCCCGAGGGCCTTTCCCATTACTTCATTCTCATTCCACCAGTGAAGCTGTCAGGAACGTAGTAATGACATAAATAATGCACGTGCGTTCGATCGCAACATTCCGTGCAGGATTTTGTATTGTTATGTGCCTGTCCATCTATTCAATTCCAAGCCATATGAACCCACGTAAACTGACCCGTGAAAATAGAAGTGGTTTAGCATCATGTAGGATGATGAAATAATTTTTTGTGAAAAAATATCCAGAATGATTTAATATATTCTTATCAAAGTTCATTCACTTAACTTGATACAGAAGGTAGCGAAGGAAGATTAAAATGCTTGCTGTTGCTGGCCTATTACCGGTGGGGGTTTGTCTTGGTTTATCTTTATGCAAGGGTGAAAAGGCTGTTTTCAAGTTTCTGGACCCGTCATACCATGTGAAGAAGCCGCCTTAGCATTGAGAAATTTAATTCATATGGATAGGGAAGCATTGATTTTGGTAGATATGGTAAGTTGAAAGGAAATTAGCATTAAGAGATATATGTCGCCCTTGAGTAGCAGGCCTAGACTTGTTTTATGTTTTGACCTTTTGGAGTGTGGTGAATCACTACCCCATCTCTCTGGGACCCAGAAACACTTCAGTTTCAGAGAACCAAGGCAGTCAGAACCGAGGAGTTAAATGTTCAGTTCTCTAGATGTGGAACAAACAGCAAAAATGATTTTGAAAAACTGCTGCATAGAAACCTACATGATGATCCTTCGCTTCACACTGGACAGGAGAGAGGGAAAGAGCAAGAGCAAGGGTATTGGATAGCTATTGAATTTTGCCGGGGAAGTACTGGGTGCGGTACATGTGCCTAGACATCAGAGAGAGAGAGTGAATGAGAGATGGAGGGGGAAGAGGAGGAAGCTGTAAAAGAGGTTTCCGCGCAATCGCATTTACGCACACCCACACACACACACACACACACACACACTAACTCACTCACTCACTCACTCACTCACTCTCTCTCTCTCCCTCTCCCTCCCCCTTCCCATCCCATCCCCTCCTCTTCCCATCCCATCCCCTTCCCTTCCTCCCCCCTCCCTTCCTCTCTCTCTCTCTCTCTTCCCCCCCCCTCTCTCTCCCTCCCCCCCCTCCTCTTTCTCCTTTACCCCCTTCCTTCTCTTTCCCTTTCTACTACCCCTCTTCGCTCTCTCTCTCTCTCCTCACATACACACACGTGCATAGACACATTCGCACTCTCACATGCAATTCATTCGCCGATGGAACTCGACTCCTCGCCGCGCTTTCGGCTTTGGGGATGAAGCGGTTCAGCCCTCTGTCCTTGTGTTTCTTCCCGCCTGTCGAGGTCTTAATTCGCCAATCCCCTTAGTGATAATTCATATTGTTTTCCAGTGATTTCGTCCACATTTACGAATGCCGCTAAATTGTGTCTAGATGTGCCTGAAGTCTAAGAGGCCTGGATCCATGAATGTGTGTGGTCGAACTGGTTCAACCAGTGAAGAGTCAGTGTTGAGGGGTTTCGTCGATAGGTCCGACCTTGGGGATGTTTGATTTGTGACCTTGAGGCTTTGTGAGAGGTTTCTCAAGTACAGCGCTCGATAATTATCGTGTACTTCGTTATACCTTTCCGTGATTCCCCATCCACTTTGCGAGGTATTTCTTGCCATGCCTTTGGATTTGTTCCTCTTTTCGTGCATTCCAAGTATAGTAGCTAGCCAGTCGACGAGACAAATTTGTTCCGCTGGCATTATTACCCTACTTCTAATGTACCGAAAGGCATTTTACTCACCTCCAGGGACTGGTGTTGGATGCAGTCGTTATCTTTGTGAGGTGTGGAGTATTCCATGCCAAGGAGGCCATGGTTTTATGAGTTTTCGGTATCAGCTTGTATTAATGGGCCTGGTGTATCCTGGATCTGGTGAATTATCTTGTGCCCTGAAAGCAGACCTGTAACAATAGGTAATAATAATAATAAATATGGGGAGCCAAGAAAGAAACAGTCGAAAGTTTGACACCCGTAAAGTTTATGTTAACGATTGAAAGCTTTATGTGGCTGTGCCATGACTCTGGTCGCCTGTATTGCATCTCTCCATTCCTCAGCTCGTAGCAGCATTGAGTGTTGTTGTCTGGGCAGAAGGTGTTGGCGCCATGTTGTAACCGTGAGAAATCGGAGCCTTCCATTCGAGCGATTCATGTGTTCATTGAGGGATCTTAGCCTGCTGATTGTACTCTTACTCGTACTCGTACTCGATACCCCAACCCTCCACGGTCCTCTTGTGCGGGTCTTCTTTCACCCGATCGGGCACGAGGGGCGAGTTGTTCATATCGCAGAAGAACCGTGGTACAGGCCCACCCACGGAGAGAGCTTGACAGATCCTACTGGTGACTTGGGAGATGTGAGATAGGACAGGTAGGCCGCAGGTTTTCCAAGAAGCGTCCATCGGGTTGGATCAATTCGTATGCCTTCTAGGAATTCGTTTTGTCTTGTGCTCCATATCCTGTATTTCTCATAGCAGTCATGGATGACTGGCAATATTTTTTGGCTTTGTTCGTCGTGGTAGTCTAGAATGTTCGCTGCCGCCGCATCACCGACAGGAAACTAGATCAAGTGGAATCACCCTCGAAGGGATTGCCACTGTCTTCCGCATTTCCATTGTGAAATTCAGTTTTTACTTCTCCATCTGGCATTGTGAGCCGCCAGACGAAATTATTGATGTTAAGGGGGAAGTAAGGTCAGGAACGATTGCGTAAGAGGAGGGCCTCGTAGGAGCGAAACTGGGTCAGTCGATAAGAGAGTTTGCCAACTGGGATGAGAACGCGGCTTGGCCTATATCCTACTTTCCGTGACACCAGGGCCCCAGACCTAGGCCTTGTTTCGATGTTCCATGGAAGGTCACGGCGTCACCCTATTGCCTGTGACCTTCCTTGATTCGAATCAGGTCGCACACAAATATGTATTCCTTGGAATCGTTTACCTTGCTCTCACAATTTGATAATTTATCTAGAGATTCGCAATTGAACGAAGTTAGGCCTTGGGTGTAGATATGAAATTGGGTCAGCATATCTCGGATAGATATGAAATTGGGTCAGGATATCTCGAATAGTTATGCCTATAGGTCCGCCCATGCAGTTGTATTGATTGCGTATCCAGATTGCTATTTAGGCCTGCTAGAGACTTCAGAATGCTGTTGCTCGAATTGGAAAGGATGCAATGTTCATCTTCGGGCACTGGTTTGAAACTGGGATCTCATATAATCCCGCTCTTCTTTTTTTTTGCTATGAACCAATTCTGTTGAGCTTTCGGTTCGCTTTCTTGAGAGAGGTGTGACAAAAGTAATAGGATACATTTGACCCCCGCACCAATGTTAACATCTGGTGCATATTAAGCAGAATCTAACATGTACCGGTACCGTCACTCATGATTCGCAGTGGTATCATACATGAAATTGAGTGTACTTTTTAAAAGCTGGGACTGGAGGTCTTGCCATGTGTCCGTAAGACCAATTTTCTTTTGATGTGAAGTTGAGCATTAAAAAAAAGTATTTGGGAGAAATGCACTTTGCAGGAATACTACTAGGCCCATGAGAACCCCAATCTCCGCATGCAATGGCATTGGAGTGGGGAAATTTTATTATCCAAGAGAAGTCGCACAGAGTAAAGGGTCGATGAAAATGATCTAATTCTTTTTCGGCTTTTCATGTCTTCTATGTCTTTTGGAGGACACGCTCGTCAATGTTTTCAAAGGCATGTAGTATTGCGCAAACCTGTTGAAAGTTTCATTTTCGGTGTCTCTGCACCACTTGGCTGCCTATATATCTTTTTCTATCAGTACTTTTCTATATTATACCGACAAACCGAAACCGAGAAAAACAATTGCCGGATAGTAACGAGTTGAATTTCTGATGTCATGATGTTTGCTTAGAGTGCCACAAATGATTTGAGAAGGGAGGGCGGCTACTATAAGACCAGTTCGGGCGATCGATAGCTTCTTCAGCCAGAACTAGGCCATGGCCCAGTTTCACATTATATGGGTGCCTGCTCACCAATCAACCCAGTCTAGCCTAGTCTAGTCATTAGTCCAGCCTAAACGTCTAGAGCCCCGGTGTTTTCTGACGGGACTAGTTATGACTGAACTAAACTGAACTGGGATTTGGTAAGCAAGCACCATAAGTGCTTATTCCTTTACATCTTCGCCAGTGCGTTTTTTGCTTATTCCATGACTTCTTCGCCGCTGCGTTTTTTGCCCCTTCCCCTTTCTTGCTCATCCAGGCCGATGTTGGCAGGAAGAGTAGAGATCCTTTTTTTTGTGCCAGAGAGGGTCGACATGGAAAGTTGTCCCACTAATTCTAAGAAGTAGGGAGAGAAGATGAGGAAGAACCTGCTATATACTGGGGGAAATCTTTTGGCAAAGTAATAATAGTAAAAAGGAACGGCTTCTCGTTATTTCCGGACTGTAGAAGAAAATCAATGATGATTCATGAGGTTATGAGAGAGGAGGAACGAGATGTTTATTATAGAGGGGAAGTGTTCTGAAATCCGTGCTGTGTGATGTTCATGGGGTCCCAGCAATTGTTGCAACATTCGACAGATTTCCCAGGACCTCTGTTTTCTCTACTCCCGAACGATGCTACGTAAGCATCCTTTTTTCGTGTCACACGTATGGAGTCGTTATTGTACCTGCATATGTTCACTCAGTTTCCTGTTTTCTGGCTGGAATTCTCCATCTCGTGATGATAGGAATTCGTGATGAAGTTGATGATGTTCCTTTTTTGTGTTGCAGTTGTCTGGATTCATATGATGGTGGAGGTGGGGAGGGGGGAGAGCCGAGCATTGGTAGCGGGAGTAGCGCCACCTCGACAGGCACCAATTGCCCCACATGGAGGAAGATGAGTACCGCACTCCCCAATCCCAATAACACTAAATCCAAGAACAAGAAGAAACCCTCCGAGCACGGGAAATCATCTTCACAAGCGTAAGATCATTTCCCTTTTGTTCTTCTTCGTGGTCACTGCCATTGCGCGGTCTCAAAATCTAGCTATTCAGAACGACGTCTCCCGGGGAATTTAGGGGAGAATCGCGAAAGCGGCTGGATGTCTCTCGTAGAATTAAGTTTTTTTTTCAATTGGACAATCTTAATCGTTGCTTTCCAAAAAAGTAAATTCCAGCTACTTATTGAACCGTTTATTTTGTTGATTTTGTCGTATCGAGCCGGGAGGTGGGGAGAAAGAGGCATATGCAAAAATGAAAATCAACCTCGTCAAGTAACCTGGCATTAGTAATATGGAGTTATAGAAGTCAAATTCTGTATTCCGGCCAAGTTGGCCTTGAATTTACTGTATGGAGCACGTCCGTCGAGTTGGAAGTATGCCGAACAGCAGGCGGCAAGAGCTCCTGCTGGGAATCATATGGGCGTCTGTGTTGATTCCATGCCGAGATGATTAAGAAAACTGAAGCAGGCACACATTATTGCCTTCATCTACGGATAGCATCATCACGAGAAGACCCATTCTCCGCACTTCCTTTTTTCCCCTCTAAATTAATTTCTAGGAGGGGGGGGTTCCTGTTGCCTTTGAGCGACCGCCGACGTATATCTTTATAAGGTGTTCTGTACTGTGCATCCCTTTATTGCCGTGGAGAAATCATTAGCTTATCGTCACATGTTCTCTTCCAAATAGGAGTAAGTGCCAGAACGAGAAGAAGCGCCGAGAACAGGAAAATGTGTACTACGAGGAATTGGCAGAGCTGGTGACTAATCTTATGGAAGATATGAACACGCGGTCGGTGAAACCTGATAAATGTGCCATCCTTCAAGAAACCGTGAATCAGGTGAGTCATTTGAGTCTTGGCGATTTTGCACTTCTTATTCGTGGGACAAACTCGTTACTCAATTGAGTTGATCATCGCTGATTATTAAAAAAAAACGACTTTTTTGTGATCTTGATGTCATTATGTAATTCATAAGGTGAATGGTTGTGGATCTGGTAACTAGGCTTTTGTGGCACACGAAAAGAGGACTCCTCCAGAGAGAGGAAAACTTTCCTCTAATAACATCAGTCGCTAGGCAACCGACTGCTTTGACGAAAACCTTCGAGAGCGAGTAGCATATAGGACCTAATGAGTTTTCGTGCTCGCAAATAGGTCTGGCTTTGAAGGTTGTTAGTAAGAGCCCTGCTCCATATCTTCATGGCAGAGCTCGCCTGATAAAGGGAGGAATTGGTAACGAGGACAGATATGAGCCTGAATTGCATTCCATTGCGTTGCGACGTAGTTCACGCAAGTATGTTCGCTTGGATCTTCCTTGTTCTTGTGCTCGCTATCGTGGTACCATGGAGTGCTTCACTCGAATGGCGTGCTTCGTTTCTGTCGTAATACAAAAAACCTTGAGATGATGGAAACGAAACGTGGGTTCAGCTAATCCTGTGTCCCGAGCCTAGAGAGAATAGAGGGAAGAGGGAGAGACACCCCCTTTGTAATCCGAGGTGACGGATAGAAGAGGAGAGAGAGAACCTGTTTATTCCACCCTCCCCCTGGCCTTTTTGCAATGGCGGGGAAACGAACCTCCCTGGGCCTGGGTCCGAGTGGCCCTGGCCCTGTTGCATGTCTGTCAATCCACCGTGCCTGTCTGTATGCCCGCTGTTGCTTTGGATTCAGGTTCATCGAGGTCGACACGTTCGGTGCAATCAATTAAGCTGGAACAACGGATCAATTTGAAGAACATCATAGTGGTGCAGGAATGTGTAGTACGAGGGGGATACTTTTTTTTTTATTGCTCGGAACAGGGCCCGGTTGTTTACACCGACCTTGGTAGGGTTCTGAAAGGGGATTCCGAAGGGGCTGTAGGGGGCCGGGGACCACTTTCAATCTTCCCTTCCCCCTGATCCTAGAGCCGTAGGGGGTGGTGGTGGTGCTTGTCCGTAGTCTCATGCCCTCATCTCTGCTCCCGTGCGTGTTCAGTCTCGTTGTGTCCACAATCCTGTGCCCTTTCCTTGGCGTGAATCTTGTGGCTTTTGATAGTCCCTCACTCTATAGTGAAGAAGAGCATTTATTTATCAGGCCTGCGGGAGTGGATTTCGTCATGAATAATTTGTCACTGTTCGTGGACCTACATATGTGCGAACTGAGTTGAGGTCTCGTAGAAGTTGAGTGAATACTTGAAGTTCTCAGCCCTTTGCAGAAGAGGCCTTAAACCTAGACGATGCGTGATTTTTTACCCCAGCAAGTCACCCGTATTGCTTACGTCGATTGCCGTCACATTGTGTTTAACCTTGATAGGAGGAAAGAGTTGTTTTGGCAGAAGCGTTTTGGGTGGATCTCATCAAAAGTTGAATCCATTTTCCGCTCGTCCGGCTTGGAAACTGTGATGTATGCAGGCATGTCCATTAGGAGCGGCTTTGGCAGGTAGCCTGCGTGTTATCAACCATGTACCAATCTCGGTGCCGCTCCTCGTCTGGAAAGAGTAGACATAACAAGGAGCCCGTTGGATCGACAATTCACCGCTTTGTAAGTCACAGGTCTTGAGATAAGGGAGGATTTTAGCGAGTGGATGGTACTGATCTCGCTTGGTTTCAGTGTAAAAGTCCATCGCTTCGGTATTTTGCCGTTTTTGATAATTCATTATGCCAGTGTTGCAACATTTATGTATTTTGTGTAGCAGAGTAGAGAGCTTTATTTAATTGATTGCTTTGCATCAATGCAGATTCGTCAGATCAGGTCTCAAGAACCTGGGGATGGGGATGCAGCTGTTCAGCAAGGAGAAGTGTCCTCATCTAAGCCTGCTATTTTAGGCAATGAAGTTCTGGGTCCTCTCCTTCTTGAAGTGAGTTGTCTTTCCACTTCAAGGAACCACTCATAAGAGCAGATTTCTCCATTATCCTAATCCAGTCCCTTCACCTAGTATGGCTAAAGTAGTGTACAATTGTATATGGACTCTAGCTGTTCTATGCCTTCCAACAGTAAGCCTCTGTAATGTGTGATTTCTATGAACTATTGAACACCTTTAGAGGCCCATCATATATTTACATGACTGGTTAATTTTCTAACACTTCCAGAAGTAGAATAATTTTGGTCTCATTGACAGAAAAGGAAATCTCTGGCTCTTTTTGTTTATGAAGAATTCCCATGTGTGTACACTATTGGAACTGAGAACTGAGGGAACTGGCCATTAGTTATTGCTTTACATTAATACATCAAATTGGAATGTTTTCTTATGTCAGGGTCTAGGCAAGAAATTTAAAAAGGAGTTGTTTTAATTTGCATCAATGAAGATGAAGATGAGATAGCCACTCTCAGGATGAGACCTATTTTGTAGTGCCTGATGGAAAATGAAGACGACCATCCATCATACTCATTGCTTTCTTACATCAATAAAACCCTAATCATTGTGGTATGCCACATTAATGTGTTCTTGCAGGAGTGCAACAAGCAATTCTTTCAATGTTTTTTTGCATCATTGTGAAATTTAAGGATTTCCCACATTCCCATTTACACGATCCATCAGTTATTAGAATATATATCATTACTGAATGATAAATACTGAATTATTCCATATGAGAGATACAGTTATAATAATGTCATAGTAGCTAGCTTTGACTTGCATTGCTAGGCCTACTTTCATAATGTTGCTGCCCTTGGAAATACCTTTCTGCCAGCATGACTTGGGCAGAAAAAGAACACTATAGTCATACAGATTGCTTAACACAATACTGGCCAGCTCTAGCCAGCTTACAATGCTTCTAACTTGTAGTTTGTCTAGGTTACTATAGAGCTCCAAGAACATATCTGCTGCTCAGAGTTTTTATTTATTTAAATGAAATGTGATTTGGAGGATGCTCTGATTTTTTGTGACCTCATTGTGTAAGACCATCAATGTACTTGGCAATTCCAAGCCTGGTAAGGGTTAAACCTGTGAAGCACACCAATACAATCATTGGTTCACTATGTTTGGATTCTGTGTATCCATTTGCAGTCACTGAAAAGAACAGGTTCTGAGCATTAAAAGCAGCAGGCTGGAGGCCTAAGTAGGTAACAGGAAATGACATGTGCAATATGAAAGCCTAATGTTTTCATTGGTGGTGAAACAGGTGATCTCAAAATAGCTGCTGCTCAAATTCATTATGCGGTTTCTGAAATTACCATTCCACTACTTGAGAATGAAAGAATTGTCAAACACCAATTGTCTCCATTATGAAGATCCTTGCAAATATTTCTGACTGAAAATGTATGCACAATTTGCTTGCTTTATTTCTATCTCTAAAGGAAAACAACATGGGAAATTGCAAGTAGCCAGTTTGTGTGAGTGAAAACAGTATGATTTTCTGAACCCATTCATGAGTACCCATGAGAATGATACATTCCTTGACATTTTCTTATATAGAATGTAATATTCCTTTCTACAAAAATGCTATTCTAGATTTAATATGTAGCTGTTAATGGAGGTTTACAGTTTTCTGCAACTTCCAGACTGATTGCTTGCAATGGAATTGGGTTTGGGAGTGCTTTCCAATATCTTAAATATGTTGACTTCCTGGGAGAGGGCTCAGGTAAATTGAGATAAGGCAGAAAGTAAGTGAAGGGGGGGTTTACAAAGTGTCAATAGTGGATGCATTGGATGTACTCAATGCTAACAGATGTGATGTACCACAGGATTATAGTTAGCCTATAATGGACCATTTCATTGTGCTTCTTCAAGTTTTCAGATTTTCCTAATCTTGCAATGTACCATGTTCTAAACTGAATGATTCAGAGCAGGTGTAGCATTTTGATGAAAGGACTTACAATTCAATTTGACCACTCCTTCATGAGCCTCTTGGAGAGTGATACCTCAGTTGCAGTTAACACATTCACTGCCAGCCTTTAAGAGTTGAGAATAATTTTTTAATACTTAGTGCACCTCAAGGGTGTGATAACAGTCATTGCATGCAATGATGTACAAAAATAAAGTTTCACTTATCTTGCTCTGTTGTATGCACACTCAGCAGGGTTCTATAACATAATGTTGAAAGCCGTAATGTTGTCAGATTTCATGTCGACTAGCAAAAACGTCGAATGCCACACAATGTCGAATGGGCATAATGTTGATTGTTACAATACTGAAGGCGTCAAAATGGGGAAAAACATCAAATCCTCAAGATGTAAAAATCCAGTTAATCTTTTCCGTTCCTTGGGTCCTGGAGGAGATTTATTCTTGCTTCTTTGCTCCCTTGAGACAGCAAAGACTGCCTTGTCAACTTATCATCTGTCTGCATTAGTAAGCGTTGGTGGAGTTGATTATGTCAGTAACAAGCACACTTCCACACAAATGTGTCAGGAGAATTGGGAATGTAACCAAGACCACCATGGAATATGTGAATCCTCAGAAAGGTGGCAGATTGTTAGTTGTTCATGGGTATTTATTCATGCGTGAAAGGTGTATGAAGGAGAAAGTGTATTGGAGGTGCCAAAACCAGAGTTGCCCTGCCCGTGACACAAAGTGCGTGATTGCTTGCTTGCAGTGGCACATAATGTTCAGTTTTGAATGCCGTATGTTATCACATTTATAACCACCAATTAGTTTGCCTTTGTTTCTGGACCAAGCGCAGTTTTTCTGTGTTCGGCATGACTTGTGTTTCCCATGTCAGGCATGACGAGTTTTAAAGACTTCATTGACAGAATATATAAAAGTCTATTTTGACTTTCAACATTTCATTCATTCAACGTTCAGGAATTTGACATAGTTGGTAATCGACTATCGGGCAGTCGGCATGTGTGTTTTCGACATTTTGACAGGATACGCTCAGCAGGACCTTGTAGGGCTTTTGTCCTTTTCTATAGGTGGGATGTACCTGCACTACCTTCAACTTCCTCTCCCTGATCAGATGAGGAATTTGTGTCTTATTCTGGCATGAATTCAATATCAGCATCTGTATCATTTAAAACTTCTCCCTCAATTTTTTCCTCTCTCACATTTGGAGCAGAGGGTTTTGTAAATCTAGCTAAGTCAACTTTAGCATGAATGTGTTAATGTGATGCTCCTTCTGTACTGTTCAGCTTTGGACAAGCTAAATCTTAAACACTAAAATCTTGCAAAAGAAGCATAATAAACTGGAGAGGTGCATCTGTTATTGCCATCCTGTACCTTTCCATTACATGCTAATGTCTGCAACTTGTACATTTCTTTCAAATGAAATTTTATGCTCACAAAGCTGTCACTTTTTATTTATTAGCTCACAGTTTGCACTCAGAAGAGTTATGTTGCACACAGAAGATTCATCTCCCTTGGGAAAGGGGAGAAGCTTCCAAGAGAGAAACTCTTGGAAAAGATTGATTCGAGGTTGTATATTCTATCTTTTGTCAGACCAATTAGTATGCTGTTGGTGTCATGTAGTTAGGAACTTGAGAGCTTGAATAAGTTGTACTGTTCATATGTAAGAGCTATCATTTTTATCATTTATCTGACAGGCTTTGGATGGATTCCTCTACATAGTGAACACAGAGGGGAAAGTGGAATTTGTCTCTGACAATGTGAGTCAGTTTCTACATTACACTCAGGAGGAATTGTGTGGAAAGAGCATTTACAACATTTTACATCATGGAGATCATGGACGCTTCTCTTCCTACCTCCTTCCTGCTGCCATTGGTGAGGCATTTTTAATTGCACAGATTTTTTGTCCTTGTGTCTAATTCATGGAGTCTACAGCCAATGTAGACCCATTCCCAGTGTAACTTTGATAAAAGGACAAGGTTGGCAGACTGACTGGAATAGAAATAAGTGCTTGGTTAAATTTTGCGTCATCAATAAAAAAAAGTCAATAAGGAAGCCAATAGCATCAGCCAAGTGAGTGTTTAACACTATATGCCTTATAATCACAAGGAAATCTTATGAAAGTCTCACATCTTTTTGTACTTCATACTGATTTTAAATTTCATATGATTGCTATGTGTTATATTAATGTGTTAACTTATATTATCATCTATTAACATCTCACGATGATAATATAAGTTAACACATTGACCCTAGTCTACTAAACAGATAATAAATGCTGCCAAGTAAAAACATTGAGAACACTGAAACATGCAGAGTAGGCCTTATAGTTTCACTTTTATATTCTCAGTTTTCACTTATTCACCCATTTTAAAGAAACCCCTTTAATTATTTATTTTATTTATTATTCATATTATTCATATTAGTTCATGTGGATTAACTTAACAGGGAAGAAAAATAAGCACTTCATGCTTAGCCTTAGCATGTTTTCAGCTATTGATGTAAAAGACTATTATGACCCCAGGGTATATTTAAGAAAAGTCTCTAGTTGGAAGTGCTATATATCAGGGACAAGAACAAAACATGTATGGAAGACTCTTAATTGGCATCCTTTTATATGCAAAGAATAGAGACAAAAGCACTTTATATTAATATGATGGAGCATTATGGTTATTTGAAGACACTAGTGAAACCACAAATGTTGAATTTTCTCCATTAATTCAAGTTTACCATTTTTTAACCCCTCAATTACCTAGCTGGAAATTTAATGGCAGTACCTCTGCTCAATGTGTGGGGGATTAGTCAGCATAGAAGTAGTAACAATGTAAGATTTTAGGTTAAGTTATATTTCTGTTATTGGTCATTTCTTGGTCACTGAGTAAAGAATTTCCAGGTTTCACAAATTACTTGAGGGAGTGTTTTTATGTAGCCGGCTGATTGGCCATGCTAGCATTGAAAAATAATTTTTTTTTACCCTGTGGAACTCTGCAGGATGCAGGTTCTTTTTCTTAGTGATCAGCAGATGCACTATGAGGAACCAATTGCTTTGTTTCATCCTCAAAAATGAAAGTAGTTTCTACATAAAAATGTGATTTTTGTAATTTCAAGGAACTTTATTCCCAAGTTCTTTCTCAGAAAAGGGGATGTGGAAGTGGATGTCTTGAATATCAAGATATTTGGCTGAATCTGATGTCCATTGTTGAGCAATGTAAAAAAATCATAGGGATGGCTTGATGGCTTGAGTTGCATTAGATGAAAATAATTTTCCCCCATTACAACATACTTATTTCTAGTGTGAATTGTCAAAGGAACTTAAGGCTTTTCGTGTTGCTACTGTTATTCCTTTGAGGTGAATAGATGGTCATTTTGTCAAGCCTCGTTGTTCAAAAGAACTTTGTGAAGAGCATAAAATATTGCCTGTAATCAAATCTATTATTTAAAATATTCTGTAAATAAAGCATCCTAATGTTGCACAATATGTGTTACCATCAATTGCCTTCCAAGTGTAAGAGCTTCTATCAACGTATGCTGCCATTTGCTCCAATTCTTGTGATCCAAATGTTCATTCATTTTAGTTACAATGTTGTTATAGGCTGAATCACTGAGACATCAAGTGTTTATTCTTATGATATGTTAAAACCCAACTTTCTACCTTCATTTAATTCAATGATCATGCATTTTCTGTTATCTGAATGATAAAATATGAGAAGAAAAGTTGAAATCTGGATATGGGTGCCAAACATTTGTTCAAATTAACCATTTCCAAATGTACAGCACTTTTACTCATCTTCCATTTTGAAAAAGAAGGAGGAATGCTTAGGTGAATAATTAAAACCCTATAAAAGTAAATTGCAAATGTATATCTCTACTTTTTTCATTTGTCATTGGTGTTTCAGGTTGGACCTCTTCTGAAACTTCATCCCAAAGCAAGAATCGTCTGTTCAATTGTCGTTTTTTGGTGAAACCTGTGGATGACTCTGAAGAAGATCTTGGTGAAATGGGGACACATTCTCATGGAGAGAAACTAGGTGCTACAGCACCTGGACCAAGTACTCCGAGTGCCCCTGTGTATGACAACATGCAAATCACTGCCCATCTGTTGCCATTCAGAGGTGACCATTCTGGTCCACACAAACGCCACGATTCCAGTGCCTCCAGTCCCTCATCACCCAGCAACCAGCCTGATCTCAGCCCTCCAGATACCTCTGGGGAATCCCAGAACTACTTGCTCTGCATTGTTCGAAGGATACCTCCCTCTGAGAAGTCTCAGGTGAGTAAACATGTTGAGTGGTGGTGTATTGTGCTTCACAAATTCCAAGTTATGTTGAAACAAGATGATGGTTGGGTGATACATGAGATGCTTACTGCATTGCAGGGACCAACAGTGGAGCAGTTCACTACCCGTCTGGACATGACAGGGAAAATCATGAATATTGACACAAGTGGAGTTTCTTCAACTTACTCACAATACCTCAACAAGGTAAATTTCCTCTTCATATGAAAACATTATTTTTTTTTTCTGTCCTGAAAAAAAAAAAATTTGAGGTCTTTTGGGTTCTCTTGCAGGCTCTCATTGGGTGTATGATTCAAGAACTGTGCCATCCCAATGATGTTACAAAGCTGGCTAATCATTTGAAAGAAGCACTGACTCAAGGAGGTGCTATATCTCCTGTTTATCGCCTTCGGGTGGCTTCTGACAAATACCTACATGTCCAAACAAAGTCAAAGCGCTTTGCTCATAATCCTGTTACTCATGAACAGGAATTCCTCAATGCCACACATACAGTGATCGGGTAAGATCCGTCAATTCTTTCCTTGATTCTAAATGGAAGATTGATAGGATATTGTAGGATTACTTAATAGGATTGAGCCAGAGGGATAGGGAAATAAAATATTTATATACAATCATCTCATTTTGTTACCTTTTTGTTTCTCTTTGACCCACAGAGATCCAGACATGTTGAAAGGACAAGCAGGTCAAGTTGCAGGGATGTTAGGAGAAGCATCAGCACTTATGGCAGCTGTACCTGGTGTTTCTAATCCTCGTCCTGGGCCATCATTGCAGTTGAATGGCCCATCAACCAGTTCTTTCAATGTTGGTAGTACATCAGTAATGGTGAACAGCAATGTAGCTGGGACATACTCAAATCCTAGCAGTGTTGGGAGTGCAGGACGTCACACACCAGCTGCCCCAATGGGTCCTGAACCTGCCATTACCATGACACCCCCATCTAACACAGTCAGCTTTTCCACATCGTTTGAGTTCTCCTTAGGAGAACTGAGCTTTGAGCCAATGCCTTGGGACATGGAATCAGTCCCTAGTTCTCCTCAGCAGGAGACCAAAGCATGGGGTTCAGGAAATCCTCCTCTGTCAGCAGCTATGATACGTCCCAATTCCAGGCAGAGTTCAAATGCTGCAACCCCTAGGCCTCCAAGTGAATCTGGTTTTAGTCCTTCAGATTACCTGAGCTCACAATCCCCGGCTGGCCATCCACAGACTCCATTTGGGGCAGGCTTCGCCTTCTCACCCATCCAGGAAATGAATTCCATGGAACGCTTGAAAGTGAGCAGTGCAGCTTTAGATACAAGTGACAAGGATGGAGGTGGAGAACGTGTCACCAAGAGTGCGGGTAATAGTTCTGTGGTGGCTGAAAGTGCAGACAGTAACACAGGTTCTGGACGGCTTCGTGACCTCTTGACTCAACCTCCATCAAGTGTGGACAGTGCAAGTGAACGTGATGGAAGTGAAGAGTCCAGTCGAAACCCCTCAGGTGATGAATCCCGGAATCACATTCTGAAGGTGCTTTTGAGACAGGAAGATGACGATGGTTTAAGAGAACAAGAAGGTGTTGGTGAGTTGAATTTTTCTTACTTATTGGATGGTGGCTTCCCTGAATAGCTGAGCACAATTTTATTGTTCTAGCTGAAATTCTCAAGATAAGCTGCCAAATCTCAATAGATGGAAAATATCATACTCAATTGCAATCATACCCAGAGACTATGTAAAGGGTGCAGTCCACTTGTTACTTTGAAAAAATGAAATAGAAAATTCAAATTTTGCCAGTATTCACCCAAATTTTCAGGTTGTGTTTAATTCCTAATTTTCTGTGACCGTGTGGAAAATGCCAGGTTTTGATTCCTGTATAGTTCATTTTGCACATTTTATAAATTTATAGTGTCATTTCCTTTTGATGCCTCATGACAATGAAGGTGTTATTCCTATGTGCAGTTCATTTATCTGAAAAGTTTTGTCTCTTTAGAGCTTTTGTCTTGGTCATGGATGTCCAGAACATGGGCTTTTCTTGATCTGGCAATAAGCTGTCCTGGAAAAGGAAGGAGAAAAGAGGGACCCATCCTTCCTCCCCTCCTTGGAGAGATTGGTTACAAACAGTTACAGTTAAAAGGAAGTTATTGCTTGATAAGAGTTCAATGTCAGAATCACAATTAGGTCTGTTGTGTGGCATTTGGTAATATGGAAACAATGCAAGTTTCAAATACTTGGAACCTTCAGGCAATGTTTACATTCAGGTCCTTCCTTCTTTTGGGGGATCATGCGACATATACATAAGAAACTTGACTATTCATGCAGGGAGAGAGCAATGGTTGTAGATGAAGTAGAATGGAATGATTGTAGATGAAGTAGGAAGAATCATGTGAGTTTACATTTTGATATGTTATTGACTGGTTTCTGTGGATTGATATGGTCAAATTTTCATGCATAAAAAATAGGGAAAGGAAGTGTTGGACCTGGAACACCTGGAAGTCATCGAGAGGGTATTGGAGGAGGAAGTCAAGGAGCTCCTAGTCGTATTGGAGGAAGTCTAAATCCTTCCCCACTCAGTAATTCATCCATGGAGTATCGAAATCAGGCTGGACCTCACATGCTACTCAAGGTGCTTCTCATTCATGTGCCTTCTGTTAGTATTCTGTGAAGAGCATGTGAAATTCATATCAATGCTTTTATTTCTTAGCTCTTGAATGAGAAGAGTGAGGAGGAAGAGGGTGGCCGAGGGGGCACAAGGCAGCCCAATCAGATCCTCTCTCGTCTCCTCAAGGAAGATGAGGAGAGGTCCTCCTCACATGATACACAAGTGAGACTCCTTGCTGGGCTAAAGCTTTGGCAATTTTTAATCACACTTATAGTAACTCTATGGTTCATTTGAGCAGACAGTGGAACACCTGCTGCAGTTGATACAGGCCTCAGAAGAAGGCCCAGTGAGTGGGAACAGTGATGGTGCATCAGGAGCCAACGGGGAAGGAACTCCACAAAGAGGTACCAAGCGGCCAGCTGCTCCTAATGACTGGTCTTCTCATCCTCAGTCCCCTTCCACAGCTCCTCCACCCTCAAAAATACCCACAATGGAACTGTCACCTGCTTCTGTTGGTATGTTGTAGTGCCATCCATCAGTTAGCATGGTTTTTGATGTGCAAGAGCTTTACTAACTCATCCTTCTCTATTCTAGGGAGTGGATCTGGAGGTAGTTCTGGTGGAAGTGTCAGTGTTGGTCCTGGTGGAAATTCTGCAACTACCAAGAGCTCAATTTACAATCGCAACAAGATGCTTGTTGCCCTTCTCTCTCGACAACCACTTCAGTCATCCTCAGTGCCTACATCTGTGGCACAACCTAAGGTTTCCCAACTGCCTCAGGTGAGTGACATCATTTTTTTCCCAAAATTACTTTAGTGATGTCTAAGGTATCTGAAGTTATATTGCTCATGATGCTTTATATGCAGGAAAAGTTGCCAAAAGATCTTAGGGAGAAAATTATTTCAACTCCTTCTTCCTCTGGGAATCCACACAGTGCTCCCAATGTCCTCTATTCACCTGTGGCTCCTCTTTGGACACAGGGTTCAACACCTCGACAGCCATTCCCATCTTCTTCTGTCAATGTTACTGCCTCAGGTAAAGATAGTTTTTCATCACTGTTTCAATATCATGTCTAATGAACATGATGACTACTGATGTTATCCCTTATGCAGGTGGTTTTTTGCAAAATCAAGTTGGAGGAGGTGGGATGCCTCGTGCCATTGGGCACATTGGCCAAAGGACACTCACAGTTGCTCAGAGTCAGGCTCAGTCGTATTTGAATGCCATTTTGAATCAGCCTCTGAGTGATGGAGGAGTTCGAACTTCCACTCCCAGTTCCCAGTCCTTTCAGAACATTCACACTCAGGTGTCCTCAAGTGGCTATAGCTCAGAATCTACAAGCAGCAGTATATCTACCTCAGTTGGAAGCAGTCAGCCTCAGCCAGATACCTCAACATCAATAGGGGGGGGTATGGCAGGAGCTGAACCTTCATCATCTCAGCAACCACATTCAGACCCTCTCCTGTCTGAGATATTGGATCAAGTTTTCTCTCTTCAGCAAGAACTCAACTATCAAGGTATCAATTCATTTTACTGTGAATAATGCTATGTGTTTGTAATTGTATATTACTGAGTTTTTATTTTCCTCACAATCTGCAGGAGGTAGTGATGAGTCTGCAAGTTTATTGAAGATGTTGGATGAAGTATTGGAGCCATCTTCAACATCTTCTGTGGTGACAGCATCACCTGCATCCAGCACACTGGGCCTTGGACTGGGGATGGGATCACCATCTAGTGTTTCTCATGTTGGTCCAGATGAAAGGCATGCCATCTCAATCATCCAGAAATCTCTCATGTCACTCGAAGGCAGCGTCACTACCTCCACCCCTACTCCTTCCTTCTCCATGAACTCCGGCCAGGTTTATGTTCTGTCGTGTTGTTTATGTTATATGATATGGAGTCACCATATTATGAAACATGGAATTGACTATAGCTGCTGGCACCTTCAATCATAATTCCCTTTTCTTTAGCTGCCCACAAGTGGGACTGTGAGTGGATATAATTCTGCTCCTCCACCAAACTATCCTCAACAGAGGTTCCCTCGAGCACAGGGACAATTTCACATTTCTGGTGTCCCTGACTCCAGTCTCAGACAGGTATTAACTATTACTACTCATTTAATAGCTAGTTAGGAGCAATCTTGCAACTCCTTACTCATTCCATGTTTATTTTGTGGTTAAGAATCCATCAATACGAAGTGCTGTATCACAGCAACAAGCTCACCAGCAGCAACATCAAGCTCACCAGCAGAGGATGAAGTTCCTCCAAGAACAGCAGGCACGGCTGTATCGTCAGCAGGCCAAGCAGCAAGTTCTCATGCCATCTTCATCTCCATCACCTGGAGCAGAGCATTCTTTCACCTCTTTGGATGATCTCGTCAACAATTCCATCCCTCCAAATGTCACCGTCCAAGTATGGCAGCAGATGTGTTCTTTCTCATGGGAACACTTTTGTCAAAGCATGTCCTTTTACTGGCAACGATTGTCTTGCAATGTCACAGCGATCAAGCAGTATGCCAGATTCACAACTTAGTCCAAGTTATGCTACGACGAGTGTGAGCAGGGAGGCAGGAAGGGTTTTAGGTCCATCACCCTCACAGATTTCCCCTAGTAACCGAGTTGGTGTAGGAACTGCACCTTCTTTCTCTCCAACCCACTCCTTTTCCACACAAGGGTTTGTGCTTGATTTCATATTCATAATAAAAAGAAGTGCTTTGAGAGCCAATGTGCAGGCAATCTAATTACTGTATTCACTTTCCAGGGGGAACTTAGGTACATTTAGTGGGGGCACAGGAGGTAGTGGCAATGTTGGAGGGGGTGGTGGAGTTGGTGGAGGTGGAGCTCAAGCTAGGATCTCACCTGCCTATAATCCTCAGCTATCACCCCGAGTTGTTCAGGTAACTTGCTTCATAATTTGCATCATTTCAATTCTTCCCTCTCAAAACACTTGTTTGAACAGAGAGATATTAAACCTGTATTTGATGCAGACATCCCAGGGAAGCTATGGTGGGTTGTCAAGTCCTTCACCAGGAGGGCTGAGTCAAGTTTCTCCATCAAGTCCCAGTCCCCGGAGCTCATGGTCTCCTCGGCCACCTCCTGGTCCCATTCAGCAGCAGAATCCAATGCTCAATGCTCAGCTGTCATCTGTGAGTCATTATAGCACATTCGCTATTAAAAAAATCCATTAATAAAGACATTTTTTTCCATTGTGGTTCCTGTGAATGTATGGCAATTCTGCTTCAAGTAAAAAAAAATGTGTAGGAAGGGCTAGATGGAGTACCTGGAAATTCTCAGTAATTCAGGCAGAATTGCAGTGATTTGTTATATTTGTCATGTTTCCATCTTGCTGCTCAATTAGAATTCCAACCATTGTTGAGTTTGTGTATTATGTGCCTGTGTTTTGTGTGAGGTTAAGTACTTTGAGAAAGAAATTTTGCAATCCCAGGCACCAAGCACTCCTGGCCCTAGATACCCTGGTACAGGAGGAAATCCAGGCCGTCCCCCAAACTTAGTCAGTCTCCCTCGTGGTGGAACAAGGTATCCCGGCACTGCCCCAACCAGTTCTGCTGGTCCTCCAGATCCCCTCAGAGCATATGGGCCCCAGAGGTTGCATCGGACTCTTAGCACCCCTAGTCAAGTGGGGGCACCTCCAGGTTAGTGTCTGTCTGACATCCACATCTCTGAGTAGTTATCATCTCTTGTGTGCAATCACATGCACTTTTTATATGTTTGCTCAATAGTCTAATTCTATTTTTCATGCAAAAAATCATACACGTTTTCTCTTCATGTGCTATTCTGAAAGACCAGATTAAGTTCATGTCTATCAGCCAAAGGAAGGACCATCATACATGAGATTTTCTCACAATTAAGTAGTTATTTCTTTCATATTCTACCAAGTTCAATGCAGCCAAGTATACCAAACTTGACAGAGCTAGATTACAGAGCATTAATTAAATGATACCAGTTTGACCTTTGGTGAGTGTGCGTGGGGACTGTTTTGGAGGTGTTGTGGCAGGCGTTATCCTGGTCCTTTGTGTCACTTGGGCTTGTATGGCATTCCCTACCTGCATTGTGCTTGGCTTTGTGTGCAGCAACTATGTGAATCCCTCCATCTGCCCCACAGCCCACCTGCCATGTTTCTTGCACCAGCATTCCTGATACACACGTTGCTTTTTCTTGAACATCCCATGCATTTTTTCCATCTAGACATCAATAGAGGGAAAGGGAAAACACATGCCTATTAGGACCTTCTTAATTGTCAGTTTCATCAAATCATCTCTTCATAAATGGCCTATTAATGATGAAGTATATATTTAAAAAATTTGCCTCTTAACCTTTGTAACAATAAAAATGATGCTCTCAGATGAAGATATTGCATGAAGGTGAAATAAGTCAATTTTTCTCATTTTTAAAATTTCATTTCAGTTTAAAGCCCTTTGCTATAGGTTCATCAGCAGAGAGCAGCTCAAGATGACTCACAGATATGTAGATAAAACTTGAAATAAAGAAAACAAAATTTAAGTCAAAATATGTAAGGTTTTGAAAATGTAAGTGGCCATATCACAAAGTCAGACCAAGTTTTTCATCCATCTCATGGGTTGGGAATGGTTGGGTATGATTTTTCTTTACAAAGTATTTTCATCTTGAATTGCCATCCTAGTTCTTGCACAATGTATTTGAATTCACCACTCCTCCTAGACTGTGACCAAAGATGACACTGCAGCAAATAAAAAATTTATCTAAGAATAATTGAGGCCAAGGATCTTGACATTGTGAGAAGGGATGCATATTCTTGTCTTGGAGAGTGATACGTGTTTGATAGGGATGCAAATGCGTGAGTCGTGTGGTGTCTTTGTCATGTTGTATGAGAAGACGTTGTCCTCTGTGTCCCTTATTGGGCCATTCTTCCCTCACAAAGTCCCATGTCCTCTTCCTACATGGAATGTCCTCAGTCATTGCTTCTGCTTGCTGTCACTTTTTGCATGGTTCTCTCATCCTCTTGCATGTACAACTTCCATGCAGGTGTGCATATGATAGTTAGATGATCCTTGAAATTTTTGTTCTACCCATTTTAATTATTGATACATCTTGAGTAAATGTGAAAGTTGCTTTCAGGAAAGCCATATCACGCCATAGGTTGAAGCACTCATCAGCATATTTTTGTGTCTGTCTTGCTTGTAAGCAGTATTTAGTTTTATTTATGCAAGCTAGAAAAGGAAATCATCCCTACACCTAGATGCTAAAATTTTGTGTAATGGCCAGATATTATAGGTTCAGGAATCTCAGCATGACATTTTATGGAAGAGAAACAATCTGAAATTTCATGAAGCACTTGAGCAGAATCTAGGTAGAATTAACCTTAATTGCATGCCTTGAAGAAAGGATGAGTTAAAAAAACAGCACCAGTTTGTAAATTCCTTTTTGTGAATCAGTTAGTAAGCATGACACTGGTGATGGGCTGCCATGTTTTTTTTTTATCAACCCCCCTTTTAGAACTTCTCCCATTGACTCCTCTGGGTAAATCAATCCTCTTCCTCATGTGGGGGGGGGCCATATATGATTTTCCCCCTTTTTTTTTTCAAGAAAGTACAAATCCACGGTGGAAGTCAAACAGATCTTCGACCATTACTGCCTTAACAGTTTGTTGCTCAGTTCTCGTTCATCAGTCAGCATATACAAAGATGTCTATGTGGGCAATTGTTTCTGTTTTCTTTGTAGGGCTGGATACAGAGCAACAGAGAAAATGTGGATTCTTATAATATTTGTCCCTCCAGTTGTGGAAACTGATATTTTTTGCTGGGAAAAAGAGCTTTAGCTGTACTGTTACATTGAGTTGGTCTTATCCATTAATTTTCTCATGGATCAAGAGGGCTTTGTTGACTACCTAGTTGAGTCTTAGCAGTATTTAAAATGAAGGTTTTTCTTGGTTGAAAGAGTAAAAGTTGAGATCTGGCCCTTGGTCCTTGTGTTTGTTCTGTGGGCGTGATGTCTGGTGGATAGCTGTACATAAAAAGAAAGAGGAGCACTACCAAAGCAGATATAATGGTTTTGACTCAAGTTTGAAAGATTGATAAGAGAAAGAAAACAGATGGTGTAATCTCACAATGCATCCATTTTCTAGAGTTTTATGGTCGCAGAAAATAACAGACTTGTCTGTTTTTTCTTTTGTCCATATTTTACAAAGGGAGTTTGCTTGACTTGTTCGCTCGAGCCGTCATGCCGTGACTCGATTAGAACGGTGGGAGACTTTTTCTTGGTACACCTTTTACAAAATGGATGACTGACAGGTAGCATTTTGAGGAGTTTGAAACGGACTTTGCGGCTTGACGGCTCGTCAATCATTGTGATAGCTGCGTCTGAGTCTACTGCAGGCCGGCGTGGTGACCAGTTTGCCTGTTGATGCATCTTTTAAAATCTGGGAATGAAAACATGAGAGACATGAAGTAAGAAAAAATACAAACAAAAACAAGGCAAGAAACCATGTTTTTTGTGAGATTTTTGACAGTTGAGTGTAGACTTGCTTGCAGAGTCTGTATTCTATGTACAGAGATGGCAGAAATGAAAATCCTTCACTCCTATCCTCGTGCGTCTTTTACTGTTGACTCCAGCATTGACATTTTTAAGTGGAAATCACTGTGCTGGCCATGCGATGTTCCTATGCCCCTCAGGCCTCTATTAGACTTTTAGAATTCTTGGGGTAGATGAAGCAGTGAGCAACAGGATTCACTTAGTCCCTGTTGAGGTAAGCTTCAGCTCACGTGTATATACCACGACAGCCGCATTCTAAAAAATGGCCTCTCGCCTTCGGCCTTCCACTTGGAGGAGTTCGGTTTGCTTCTGCTTAAAGGGTGTGTTTTCCATGACCCTGCATCACTTGGCTGAGGCAATTCATCCTTAATCGAGGTAAGTTCGAGTCCAGAAACATAGCCAGAAGTGACCGGGAAAATAGAATCCTCATGCATCCATGGGAGTGGATCAAAACCAATATTAATTTTAAAATTATTTTTTCTTGCTGAGCTTCAAGTGGGAAAGGGTAAGGAGGAAACACCCGTCTTTCTCTGGGAAATAATTTTAGGCAAGGCCAGTGCAGGTAAGGGTGATTGTTGGGCGACCAGTCCAAATAGGATATATTAGTTGTGGACGACTGGATAATGTGCCTGTAATCTTCTCTGACAGGATTCAGAAATAAAGCTTCTTGAGGCGCAATTACAATGTGAATTATAATTTTAAGTCCTATGTTGCTGTTACGCAATTCCCTTCGGGGATTCTGGCTCGTTCCTTGGGGGCATCACTGCCATGGACTGCACCACTCCCGAGATTATTTGGTTTTCAACGCATCGGTTGCTTCTCAAGTCACGTAGAAATGTATTCCTCCTCATGCATGTTTTCTGATGCATTAGGGTACCTGAAACACTCCTGGGAAATTGGGGGAAAGAGTCTATTTGCAACCAAGTCAGGTTCGGAAAAGTTGTTGCCTTTGACGGGAATTTCTAGATCGTTTTTCCTTTTTTTGTAACCTCGCGGGGGATTTTGAGGGGATTGGTCACAAGGGAACGGGTCAATTTTCCACCGAAATAGCTCATCAGCAAGCCTGCTCCTTTAACGTCAAGATTCACCAACCGATTATCACGATTTCTAATGGTTCTTTTTTTTCCCTTTTTGCTCACCCAAGAAAGAACTGATGACTAGTTTTTGAGCGAAAAACGAAATACGGAGTGGTGCTACATAAATATTATCCATGTGTTGTAATTCATTGCAATAAAATTCCCGTGGAGTCTGAATCCGTACTAGTAGGATCCTCGGGTTTGAACTGTGTCTCGAACCCTCTACTGTGACGAGCCGGAGACTTACTTTGTGGCTAGAGGACAATCGTGTCGTGGGATTTATATGCAGAAACCTATCCTAAGGTGCGATCTGGCCCTATCCCAAGTACAACCACCTATGAAAAGTCATTTGACCCAAAGCATGATGTATTGACTGGCTTGGGGGTGGTTTTGCTCACACGTGACCGCTCACACATGAGTGCGTTTTGCTACGGTGATTAGCTTTGAGTGTGCTCGGTGCGGATATGGCTACGAAGGAGGCAAAAAATTGGTTATTTTGGGTTGTCACTAGAAGCACTCTTAAGTTAATCCAAAATGTATATGCCATTTCAGTGGGATCTATACTATGTGTCTTCTGGAGCCGTCTTCCAAATGCATGCCTTTTCTTGGAAGGATTCCATCGACTTGAATTAATCATTTGCACGACTCATTTGGGGAAGCGCCTTACCATGCTGAGTGATCGTGCCAACGCATATGGCATGAAGGGAAGCACCTTGCCATGTCGAGAGGTCGTGCCAGCCTATCAGCAGCAATCTCTCCTTTGAGCGCTCGTGAGTCGAAGACGTCTCGGGAATGAGTTGGCGTGCTGCTGGTGTGCGAGTCCATCACTCGCTCGTTAACCCTGATTGCACGAGCTCGCAATTCGTGTAAAATACGAGTAACTGTATCCGAGGAAAGTAGGAAAGTAACAGTCTGATCGCGACATCATCCGGAAGAGTCAAGATTTGGGAATCCAGTCGTGTTGAAATCATCCGTTGTAGACACGCAGCGTCTTTCTCATTGCACTTTTCTCTCCCGAAGAGAGAGAAGAAATCTGTAGTTTTGAACGGAGAAAACGAGAAAATTGGGGAGTCAGATGTGCTGACCAAAAAAGCGTGTGAGGAAACGGGGGATTCGAGGAAATACCCATAGCCCCCAAGGAGCTAGGTACCACCCTTCGCCGTGTCTCATCGCGTTTCTGTTCACGAAATGGGTCGCTTTGTCGTCCTCGATGACTTCGAGACACTTCGGCAGGGCTGGTTCCCAGCGAACGAAAAGCCGATCAAACGGAAGTTTGATGTATGGACGAGGCTCCGATTTGGGATCGATACGAAGAAACTTGTCGATATTTTTTGTCAGCAACCGTATTTTGAAAAAAGAATGATCAAATCTCTCATCTCGTCGAGAATTCCATAGCCTCGGCAATGAATTCGAAGAAAGAAAAACTCGAGGCGGACAAGGAGAGGAAACGGCTCGGCGTCGTCTCACCTCCCTTCAACGAGCGCGGAAACGTAGACGAGGCGCCTCCCCTTGCTCGAGAGCCATCTAATGAGAGCCGAGTGAAGCTCTGCGATGGATGTCAATCCCAGAGTGAAGTGAAGAGGGGTCAGAGCTCGAGAGGCATCCGATGTAGAATCGGGCCCTACGATTGCCTTAGATCGTATTTTCTGCCATCGATAATTGCAGATGATTTCGGGCTTCCAGCATCTCAGTCGGGGCCAAGTCGTGCAGAGATGCATTCAAAGGCAAGTCACGAAAGACCTTCGTGGGCCCTAAGTTATAATCTTGGGAACCGGCTAACCGCTTTATTACTGTTCAAAAGAATTGAAATAAGTACCTCGTATTCCATTGTCTCGAATAAGCCATCCCATAAATTTCTTTGACGCTGAGAAAATGAATCCCAACTATCGCTCTCGATCTTATGGTACTAAATTATGCACCCGAAAGTTGACGTCCGACGTAGACACACCACATCATGTGTTGCGCCGCTTTACATGCCGTCTCGCGAATATGAAATGCCATTTCGCAATGAAAAGTAAGGGGAGATGAGGCCCGGCTCCGGTTTCGAGATTAGAGGCAGGCTGTCACGTCTCGCTGCCTTGCCCCGTAGGGAAGGCCGCTCCCTGCAAGTGCTCAGTCATGCCAATCCACTCCCTCTTCACGTCTGTCAGTCAGTTTCTCTCTCTTCCTCTCCCTCTCTTGGGATGGTGAGAGAGGATAATCTCTCGTCCGTGCGGGCTAGTTCAAGTGCTATATAATCTCGTTTCTGGGCGCATGCGATGAGAGCACTTGGGCGTGAGGAGGTGTGCAAGTGCCAGAGGGACCACTTCTACTGTGCCATAGAAGCGAAGCGTTTTGCAATCTGCGTCGTGGATGTACACGCATAGATATGAATTCGCATGCCGACATTTCCAATAAAACGTTTGGAGGAAAACGCTTCTCGGGTGACTCGGCCCTGGCAATGATCTCTATCACAAGTAATTTTAAGGTGCTTCTCGTTCCCCTTAGGCAGATTCTGGGGGTGCGGGAGCGTTTCCTCGATGCCTTGTAGCGTTGGTGCATTCCAGAGAGCCAGCAAATTCTCTGCTTCCTACTGCAATGGGGAAAACCAATTTTAATCTGCACCATGGCATTTAAATTAATGTATTAAATTACAGCTTGCAACATATAATGGTACATTAAACAGTACGTCGCGTCGCCATTGGTAGGAAATATATGTATTGCATCACAGTGTCAAAATATAACTTGCAACTCGAGAGGGCTAATGACAGAATTCGTAGATGCGGTTCGCAGGCGAATGAAAGAAACGTTCACATTTCGTGGAGCATCTAAAGTACAGGAGAAAGCCGGGAAGCACCGGGCGATCCCTAGTCCTTTTATTCGTAGCACGAACGATACACACGCGGATGCGCTCGCACCGACCGCCGAGAACCAGAGAATCATTTATTCTTGAGCCAGTGGAGCTTGAGAGGAACCTTGGGCTTCTCGAGGACCTCCACGCCCCCGAGGAGGGACGCGAGCGGCTCGGGCACCCGCACGGTTCCGTCCCGTCTCTGGTGCGTCTCCGCCAGGGCGATGAGGAGTCGGGGGATGGCGCACGCCGTCCCATTTCCCGTCTCCGGATGCTTCCCGTCCTCCCTCAGTCTCAACCCCAGCCTCCTGGCGTACGGAATGCTCGGGATCAAATCGCGTCGGGCGGACAAAAGGGGCCGAAGGGTTGGACTCACCTGGCTTGGTAGTCGGTGCAGGACGAGGCGGAGGAGATCTCGCCGAAGAAGCCATGGCCGGGCATCCACGCTTCCACGTCGATCTTCTCGGCCGCCGAGGGTCCGAGATCCGACGGGGGCATCCGGAGCACCCGGCACCACAGTCCCAAGGGCTCGAACAGTCTCTTTTGGATTCTCACCAACTCTTCCAGGATCTCGCCGCTGTTCTCCCCGACGCAGAACATCTCCACCTTGGTGAAGTGGTGCACCCTACGGAACGCAACGCGAAGACTCGACGTAGCCGATCTAACCGAACCGGACGGTGCCGAAAGGGACGAACCTATAGAGCCCTCTCTCGGCATGGGTGTCCGAGACCTCCGCTCGAAAACAGCGGGAGACGGCGGCCAGCCGCAACGGCAAGTCTTCCCTGGAGAACACCCGCCCGGCCAGAAGTCCTCCGATGCCCATCTCCGACGTTCCCGACAGGCACACGGGAGAACTATCCGGTCCTCGGCGCACGTGGAACACCTACCGAACGCATCCGACATCAAACATGCGCCCGGCTTTCCGGATTCGCGACGCGGAAGCGACCGACTCGCCTGGCCTCGTTGAAGATCGGCCGGGAAGCCACAGGCTTCTACGATGCGTGGATGAAGGAGATCGGGAACGGAGACGAGGGAGAAGCCCTCGGCGCGCAGAACCGCCAGGGAATACTGCAAGAGAGCCCATTCGAGCAGGGCCAGGGACCCACGGATCACGTGGGCCCTCTGCCCGCTCACCTTCCCCAGGCTGTCCGTCCGGAACCCGTCCAGCTTCTTCCCGATTTCCTCGAACCTCTTCGGACTGCCACGAACGCGACGAGCTCATTTCCATCCACGGGGGGACACCCGCGCGAGAACGGAGACGGAATGGACTCACGCGAAGGCGAACTCGGGCTTCCCGCCGAAAGACTCCAGCACTTCGGGCTCGTCCGTCAGATGGGACACTCGGGGCGACAGACGATTCGGAAGGAGCTTCGCTTCCGCGTAGAACGCATCCCTCGAAGCCTCGTCTTTCGTCCGTTGCCATCTCTCGTACAGTCCCGTGACCTCGCGGATGTCGCCTCTCTCCTTCCTCGCTCTGATGTTTTCGGTTATCTCCTCTGCGTTTCCCGGCTCCAGCACGTACTCGAGATCCAGGTCGGGTTCCTCGGGGAGGGCCAACCCCCCTGCCGTCGGCTTCGACCCGAATGCCCTGCTCAAGAATCCGAAGCCCCTGCCCCTCTGCATTTGGAGGAGATACCTCAGTTGCAGCCACGTCATCTGCAGTGTTGCTCGTCTCGTCTGCCTGGAATCATCGAAGATCCGAGAAGACAGGCCAACAAGTCCTTCCATTAAGAACGGCGAACCCCATCGTCGTCAAAGGACAGTCGCGCCGGAATGAGCACAGGAGAGGACTATTAATTAAAAGAGGCTAATTGAAGACGTCCCAGGCAGCCTCTCCTCTTGTGCGCATCGAGCGGAGCACCACAATTAGCTGATGTCCAAGTATTGCACTGGCATCGATCCCAGTAAGTCCCGAAAATAAATGGCATTCGACGGTATATACGGTGTAGGAATCGGCCGAGATACTATCCTATCCTGGCTGAAGCTCGCCGGGATGGGCCTCAACGCCTCCGAAGGACTCATTTCCAAACTTCTAGCTTCGTTCTCAATCACCAAACGGGCTCATCGTCTTCAAAGTCTTTTTATTCTTCAGGAAAGACTCGGAACAAAGGAAGAGGGGTGCACGACAAGTTTCAGTTTGAGGATGCCACAACCAAAAATCAACGAACATAACAAAGAATTCGAGTAAGATCCACTATGGCGAGGGTGGCAAGCAGTGGAAACGCTGTCTCTCGCTAGGCTCGAAATCTCACCACCCTGACTAGCAAACACCAATCATATTATCAACGATAGATTTAAGTAATCGAGACACCAGTGAAACAGGAATGGCAACGTATCAGCGGTCCGGAACACACGACCAGAGCCTTCCGCTCCCTCCGACTGATCGGAGGCACCTCGATCTCGTGACGGCGTGCCTCCGATCGCTCGGCCGAGGACTTTGATCCTTGTGCGGGCCACTTCCTACTGCCTACATTGGTGTGTTCCACAGACTTCACACTCCATCTAAAGGACAAATGGGAACTCCCGAAACGACACTACACGCGCTCACACGATGATCTCTATTTTATCTCACGCGGAGACACGGAATTGAATTCGGTCACAGGCGCCAGAGAGAAACGGAAGGATCATCTGTTAGGAAGATTCTTTCTTAGGCCTACCAGCAACGAGACCAGGTGCCACAAAAAAAGCCTCTGGGCTCCTCTGATCCTTCGAGCAGCACTGGGTTGGCTTGTCGTTTGGTGGCGTGAGCTCCAAGGATCAGAGCGCGGGTTTGGGGCACCTGGTTTGTCAAAGTGGGCAACGTGGATGCGGTTCCTGCACGGTAGCACCATCTCAAATCTCAGTCTCGCTCTCGAAATACGAGAAAATCATTCAGAGACTTTCCAGGGCGAGGGAAGGTGATTAAACATCGTCATTCTCAATCTAAAACAAACACACAACCAAACCATTTTCAGAGCATTACGTCTGAACTCGACAAATTAAACATCATACTCTCCACTCCACTACATTATTCAAAAGAGAAAGGAAGTCACATATACCAAGGAAAGAAGTTAAAAAAGGGGGGGGATTTCTATATAAAAAAAATGAGCACTCCAGAGGGAAACTAAAGGCTGAAGGTCTTTCGAGTAGAACATGGGATCATGTTAGCTGAGGTTTGCACACATCAGTGTGAAAGCATGAAATCACATTTCAAAAGCCCAATACATCACTCAATCACAATGTGAGTGGAAGCCATTAATGCTATAAGTGACCAATAAGTCGGGAAGAGTTTTGCAGAAACATTCAAGCTGGCCAGAAGGAATGACAAGAGGGAAATAAAATGCTGAATGAGGACTTCAAGCCATGGACAAAGACTGGTGGAGGAAGTGCAAATAAGCAGAAGACCTCAACAAAAAGCAGCCAACAAAAACAAAAAGAAGCCTTCATCCTAGCAATATTTCCCATTTTACTGAGTATCGAGAGTTCCCAGTGTCTTCCATGCAGACTGCAGTCTGATAATATACAATGACAATTACTCAAATCAATGCAGCTGCCTTGAAATTTCAATTGTTTCTGTTCCACCTCTTGTAAAGCACAGAAACAATAAAATTCTCATCTAGTATTATGCTTCCTTATAAGCCATTATTGAGCAAAGCAGTTCAGGATAGAGCTCCTGATATAAATTCCAGTAAGTTTTTCAAGGACCTTTCAAAGCGCCATGCAATCATTAATTTGGCACATTCCCATTGAATGTGACTCAGAAGCTATGATTTGGTTCAGTTACATGCAGGGCCAGCCATTGGGGTGAGCAACCTGGGAAACAGCCAAGGGAAGCAAAAAATTTGTAAGCTTTTGGGGCATAAGGGATGCCCCCTCTGTAAAATATACTGGTCTGACTACTGGTATGTCAAACTGCAACATCTAAGCCAATTGGGGCTGAACATAAATATGGAATATATTTACCCAATCCTGCGTCTTTGCACTATCTAGTGCATGCCTCCTTTACAATCTGTCAAGGCCATGGATGTGCCATGTGACTTCCATATTCATCAAATTGTTCATCTTATAGTTAGATTATTACATGCTGCAATAGTCTTCAACAGAGGAAAGGAGGATATCTAAATTCACCCATGGCACTACCTGATCCAGGGCTGGCCCTGGCTACTTGCCTGTAAAGGAACATCACTTAATACATACAGACAGGCTGCATGAGATAACTTCTGCCTTAGTTTGCTATCACATCACATTGCATTGCCAATAAACTGTGAAACTAAGAGAGCAACAATGCTGTAAAGGCAGGGGTGAGAAGTTGCTTCCAAACTACAGAGATTCTGCTGTAGAATACTGGCGGCTTCACTCGGTGCGATAGCCACTGTCTGACCCGCTGTTCCCACTCTGTACAAGAGAGAAAAAGTATATTGAAAACCTGTGACATCTTTGTGCAGAGACACTTAACAAAATAAAGAGAATAGACAAAAATTAAGAATACCTGAAGGAAGTCATGGTGGGATAGGGAAGGGGGTAATAACAGGTTATCACAGCCATGGGACAGGAAAGTGGGAGAGTTACAGGACTGGTGAAATGGGAAAATAACATGACAAAGAATTTAAATCCAAATAAAAGGAAAAAATAACAATTGCTGAACTATTCCTACTCACTCTGTTGTGCATGGAAGAAGAGGGTGGGGTGGGTTCCTTGACAGCAGAGTCCAGTCCAACTTCTGCCAACTGCTTGAGTGCATTTAAAGCTGCCTGGTCATGAGAAGCTTCCACAGTTGGACCAGAACCATGGAATACTTGAGGTGGACTAGTACTGAGCGTAACTAAGCTCAGATACTCTGTCTTGTTCCCCTGAAAGAAAAGATTGCTCCTAATACATGCACAGTTGACTGATCATGTTAAGTCACCTTGATCAAGTATCTTTTATTAACCCTTTACATTCCACACCCAAGCATACTACGGATGGCCTCCTAGGCTGTATCATGCCAAGCTCAGAATTTTCTTTCCTAGGGACAGCCTAGTCCATGTATTAAGTAAGTGGGCAAATAAGGCAGTAGGTATAGAATCTCATGGCAAGCAAAACACTAAGTTTTCACATAATTTGGCACAGCCATCAGGACTCCAGCAAACCCATGATGAGAGCATGCATGTAGCATTGGAAACTTGGGATTTAAAGGGTTAAAACGTCAAACCAATGACTTGACTTGGACTTACTCGGGGGAAATCACTGAATTGAACAGTGAAATTGAGAACCGAGGCGAGATAAAAGAGCTGGTGCTTGGGTCTGACAGCAGGGCCTCCAGCATTTTGAGAGACATTGGACATCTGGCCTTGAACTTGAAGGGCTTCTGCTGTGGGAGAGTTCCCACCCTTGAGCAACTCTTGTGCAATGGTGGCTGTGGTCTGATGGCTGGCTGCTCCTTGTCCATCTCTCCCACCTCCTCCACCAGAGCTCCCATTTCCCCCACTCAGTCCACCACCACCACCAACACTAGCACTTCCTCCTCCCAATCGATCTGATACATATATTGCACAAAGCCATGCAGACAAGCAATCAAAGTATTCTACCAATATAAACACGCATGAATGAGATTATGCAATAGGGTGGACCACACATCACACGAGGAAGCAGATGTGCATCAATATGGCAGGGACAGGTAAGTGTACATTTTGTTGCTATGTTTCTGCTATTTATTGATCAATATTGACAGTATCAAAAATAGTCATCAATATACGAACCACCTTACAACTGAAATTGGTCTAACCACAAGACCTTGTCATTCAGGTCACATTTACAAACTGAAGGAAATCCCTCTATTGGTGCTTTTGAGATCTCTCATACAAAGCTAAGTGAAGCTTAAATAAGTCTCCTACAATTCTACATGCTTCTTAACACATTCAGTCCAGTATAATTCTTACTAATACAACACCTACAATGAATTACTCATTAAATAATAGTTGAAAATCAATGTTATATGCACCAAAATTTCAGAAATTTTCACATTTTCCTTCAGTAGTTTAATCCAATTTAAAAAATATTGAATACTGCAACATGTCATATCAGAGACTTCTGATTCCAGACTGTAGAAATTGGAATCGTACATCAGAGATTTCCAATTATCAAGATTGAATGCATTAAATCTGCATCTTCTGACAAGGTGATCTGACAGCACAACACAAGGTTTTTTTAATTTTCATGTGAGGCTTGGCCAGCTTCAACTGTAAGGCATCCATGTTGGGCATAAATGCCCATCAGACACTTTCTAGCTGAAGAACAATTAACAGGAATCCTGCAGTATTTCACTGCCATACTAGGTGGCAAGCAGATGTAGAACTCATTCTACACAATTTTGTGCACTGGTCTATTCATGCTCAACTGTTGATAAATACGTCCAATAAAGTGAGGTATTTGGTATTATTGGAGAGAGGGAGTTTTGAACAACCCATTACTCAAGGATATAAGGTGTAAAGTCACAATGGAGCTGAATGACAGCTGGGTAATCCACAAAAAAAGCTACATTTTTGAAATGACATCAATAGCTTGAAAAAAGGTTAGATGGAGTTGAAGGGCCACAACACGTCACAGCCACAGGAACACCGGATGGACAAGAGAGGACCTGCTGAGGACCTTCATCTTCATTCTAACAGCTTTTGTGTGCCCTGGGACATAGTTGGATTTTGTCTAATATCCTACTTTAACAATGCCTCAATGTCTGGAACCTGGTGATACTGGAACAAGGCTTAGTTTTCCTCACCAAGATTCAATTTCAAGTACATTTTTACATTGGAACTGAGTGCAAACCAAACTCAAGTGAACTTGATCAGAATCCATACCTAATCACTTGTCAAACTTTAGAACCTGATCCAAAAGTAGACTCCCTATGGGAGCAAACCCAAAACATAGCAGACTCAGCTGCAGTGGGTTCTTTCCACCTCTAATCCATCTACACTCCAATCTGCTGCTACCCTGCTGCCTTTAATCCCACCCCAATTACAAAAGCAAATCTCCAGTCAACACTGATAACCCCTCTGCCCTTCACTCATCACCCACTCCCATACTAAGCGTCCATCCTTGAGTCAAATGCATCCATCTGTTCCTGTTCATCCAATAATCAAATCAAACCCTGGAATGAGGTTTTAGATTATAGAAACATCTGAGTTTAGGAATTGTCACATTCCAGAAGAGTATTTACACAGTAGCTTACAGTATTACAGTAGCTATCCTTGTTTCAATGCTGGTCTCTGGTCACTGGTCTAATGAAACTCATGAGGGCTATTCTCTTCCTTAAGTACAATAACCATCCATAGCTGTTGAAGCATTAGAGTAATAGTGGCACTGGTCCACAGTTCTGTTATGGGAACTACCTCCATAGATAAACTACTTACATGAATTGGGAGGAGCAGAAGGGATACTGTTATCAGACATAAGCAGGAGTCCTGGGACCAGCTGACGTCCCCCAGCCCCCCCTTTCACAGTCCCAGATCCCATCTCTCCATCCACAAATGTTACCTGGATAAAGCAAAAAATTCCAGAGTCAAATAGTACTTGAGAAACTGGGGAATCCCTATCAAGCTCAAAGTATGCACTTCAACTCATGAAAAGGAGAGGGCATTAGTTCATGCAGATTTTATGAACTATGGCCAGAGGTGCCATCTTGAAACTGAACAGTGTCCAAAATTAAAATATGGCAATGTAAAAGGCAAAATAATTTTTACTCAAGACATAGAGAAGAGACTGATGGGATGAGAACAACTGACCCATACACCACATCAGCCAATATTAGGCTCTAACTATTGGCCAACTACTTGGCTCTTGCAAACATTTTACCTTCAATGTCAATTTAAAAAACTTCTCATGGTATGGAAACCACACCCCAATAAGCTCAAGAATTGTTTAAAAGGAAAAGGGCTTTACAAGTGGTTGAAACCAGGATGATCATGGACATTCATTATGTTTTAGGATGTAGGTGGGGAAAAACCATTCCCATGCTTTCACTTTGGCCATACCCTCATCTGACATCTATGAAAGAGAAATTAGTTTACTGTACAATTTTTCATTTCAGAGAAGGGATGTCAAAAGAAAAAATGAAGCCTGTGAATTCCTTTTCTCTCCCTCATCCTTCCCCTTTCACAATGCCCACTACATTTTTACAGAATTATTTAGTGAGTCTTTATTTTTCACATGCCCTTCTGACTCTGAATTTATACCATGATTCAGGTTTGGAATAAAGGCCAAGGGTCAGGTTTTCCATACTCAAACTTCAGAAATGTACCATCACCCTCATCCATAAGATATTTATCATAATTTATGTCAGTATATAACATTTTCTCCTTTTCATCTGCTAACACTTTTACAGCATAGACCATACAAGGGCAAATATCTATACATAGGAAGTAGGGAAAATGAGACCAAATTTGCAGGGAAAGGATATTTTTAAGGAAGTTTAAGGAAGGAAGCATGTTTTCATAAAAATACCCACAGGTAGTTTCAAGAACATAAGGACACAATAGTATTAATATATGCACATTATTGGGTATAGGTAAGAAAGAACATGCCTTGCCAGGAGGTTTTTTCTCTTCATTGGTCCCAGGAGTTTTCAACACAGATTTCTCTGGCTGAGGGGTAGGTTGGCTATATCCCATGACCTCTAATAATGCTTCAGCAGCAGCTCTCTTTGCTATCTTCTTATTTGGACCTGAGCCTTGAGCAGTGTGATCTCCACACACAACCTATGCAAGGAAAGACATGGGGCATTTGTCAAACCAGAAGAACACAGGCAGAAACTATGACTGAAAGAAAAATAACCTTGCTGAATGAATGAAAGTTTTGCAAATAGATATTATGGGCAAATCTCTACAAAAATGAGTACCACCTTCAAGTTTCTCTAGAGTTTTGAGTATTCATTTACCATTGCTACATGTACATTAACTGTGATATTTACTATTTTTATCCACACTGGCAATTAACATTGTCAACAAAGGAGAAGTTCCTACATTCTTCCAACAATATCTGCCTCATTCTTGCTAAAGAGAGTAAGAGGGAATAACAACAGGGTCGATGAGATATCCAGCATAAAGAAAGTGAGCAATGGCATGCATGCACAGCAATCTGGCTCTGGTTCCAGCCAGACACATGCCACAGGATATTCTGTATCTGGTAATCTGCCAAAACCATATCTGATAAATCACCAAAACTCTTGTCTAAAGAAAAGAAGCATGTTAACAGATTGGCAGGCAAGGAAATTTGTATGCTCCACAAAAATTCCAATCAAATAGGTACTACCACCTCAAGAAGTCAAAATCTGTTAATAGTTTCACAAAAAACATTGAGGGGATGTATAAAAAGCAACATGAAAAAAGTAATTCTAGACATGTCCTTAACTGCATTGCCGAGGTATACAGATGAGCTTATGCAAACACTGTATTGTTGCTGATAATTTTGCATGAAATTCAAAACACTCAATTCCAAAGTTACTATAAGCAACTGGGAGTCCCACATCACTATTTTCATTTTCCATGACATATGTCAGACAGCCCTGTGCAGAGCCATCATTAGACATGTATATGCCTATCTTTGATGAGTAAAATGACTAATCTTGATATTCCTGGCACAAATTCCATTACTTACCCAAAGCATACCAAATTTTATTGTAAAACTTGAATATGGAAAAGTTGGGTCATCCTATCAAAGATATAGAACACCCTGATATGCAATTAATTGAAGGGAGAAACATGAGAAGCCAAAGAAACTACACAGTCAAAGACTCTTTTCCTCAAATGAGAAAAGCTGAAGTGGGCAGACACACAGCACATCTGCAGATATGCATGAAACCACAGGTGTGCAACAGGCACTCTATTGATGACACATCTTGCATGTTATTGGTATGGGAGCAGAGGCACTTATGAGTCAGATTCTCTAAAACTTTCTCAATTCGAGCATAAGATATGTCTGAGTGTCACAGCAAATATAAGAGTCAAACCAAGTATTTCCATTTCCTTGAATGCACTCAAGGTAGGAACATTTGAATACTGCCAGACTGAAATTTCATGGAAATAAATAAAGGGTAAGCCAAACCTGGATGATGAATTCCCGCTTGCGTGGGAAACCTTTTTCAGCCAGCAGAGAATAGACAGGCTCTCTCTCTTTTTTGGCTTGCTGAATCTGAATCAGTCGAGAGATGGGATTGATGCCTTGGCCATATTCCATGTTCCCCTGCTCTTTGATGATGCGATTCTTCTTCTTGGTAGTGGTGGGGACTTTCCGTTTTGTTCGAGAGACAACTGCTGGGGTGGTCACTGCAGGCATTTGGGCCAACTTCTCTAGCATTTTCTCAGCAGCATTCTTCTTGGAAAGCTGTGAAATAAAAAATAGTAGTGCATCTCACTATCTCCCCCACTAATGAACAATGACAGGCTTAATGCTCAATAATTTGATGAAGTATCTACTTTAGATAAATGCAACAAGGAAAATTAAATGAAGCAGGAAGTTATGCTGAATTCTACTTTTATTCCTTCTTCACTCCTGTTTCAATTATGAAAGTTGTATGAAAGTGGCAAGTTTTCTGTCTGAACTAACACATCTGCTATGTGCTCATGGGATTGTGATAAAATAAACCCTGCCAGCATTTCAAAGTTGGAGGCAAATTAAGAATCAAAACATGTAAACAAGTTATACATGTGGAAACAGATAAACTCCTTCAAAAAAGGCCAATTGCAAGACAAGCACTTGGTCTGTAAAGAGAAAGTTGCTGAAAAAGCTCACATCTCAATTCCTAAAGTCTCAATCTGATCCAGATTTTAGCAAAAGTTGCATGTTTCATGGTTTCATAACACTACCAGTTGAATAAGTTATAAGTCAGGCAATAAGAATGAGAAATAGGATGAGATGGAGGCACACCTTCTTTCCATGGCCATCACCCTGAGTAACATCTTGACCAACTATGCACTGGGTGATGAAAGTCTTCATGTGAGGGGGGCCACTCTCTTGAACAACTTCAAAGCGAACAGACAGGTTCTGCTTCAATGCAACTTCATGTACCAGGGATATGGGGCTCTTGAGGTCTGCATTTGGATCCAAGGCCTTGATGTCTGTCAACAAAAATATAATCAAGTCTTAAATATCTTTGGGCAACTCATTTCATATTGTTCTCTTTTCTTAACTGTGCTGAATTGAAAAGACAAATACAAATACAAGAATTACATTGTGATGTAAAGATTCCGAGAGATTAAGATATAAGCCAAATGCATATATTAATAGCTGTAGAATATAATCAGTTCATCAGTACACATAATTCTAGAGCCTAAATAAAATTTGCATTGCCTTTCACATCATCATGGCTCTTAATTCCAACATTTGTGAGAAAAAAAAACCAAACAAACCCAATGACACATGAACTGGTAGTTCTGTCATGAGGAGATATGGTAGGTAACTCCATGGTATAAAGAGAGATCATAGGTATATCTCCTCCTTTTCCTCTAGCACGTGTGCGAATTCCATTCCCTCACGATTAACAGGGAACAGGCAGGACAACGTGCACCCAAGATGAACTAACTTCATTTTAGAACATAATAGGATGCCATGCATTTTGAAATAGCTACAAATGTTATATAACAACTGATGCTGCATTTCTTGGCACCAAATGAACAGAATGGGAAATTTTAAATGAAGATCTAGAAAGTGGAGCAGGGTTTAGTGTGCCTTAGATAAGTACTGGTAAAACCTATCTCTTCAAGTTAATGCCAATGTCTTGCAACTCCAAAGCCACTAACAAACCTAACTTTAAGGAATTCTATGGCAGCTTGCATTAGCAAAGTTACATGTGTGACTTCTAAGACATGAAAAAAACTTGCTTCATGAGGTGTGAAAAAAACATGCAAGAAATCAAGCATATGAATGCTGAGTTCTATACCCATCAAATGGAGACTTGAATTCACAGTTTGAACATGGATTTGGTATTTCATAAGTAATGGACCATTGGAATCAAAACCAAAAAAAATGGTATCAGTCAATCAAGGCTGCATATTCCTGAGGAATACCATGGCATTTCAGTCAAGAAAATGTCTCAGTATGGTTACCATGTTAAGTGATGGAGAAAACTCATCTCACCATTAGGTTTGGAGTCATTCTGATTGGCTTGTTCAGGCAATGGAAGATTTCTCAGCTCTTGGAGGGCCTTGGCTGCAGCAGTATGCCTGGCTGCTTGTACGGTGTGACCATCTCCGATATACTCCCTGTTTCCAACCCGTAAGGACACACAGAAGATAGATGGGGGTCCATATGGTGCCCGGGGCATGTATGTGTATGGTCGGTTGTACAGGGTCGCACGTGGAGCATAATAAGGGTTGTAAGCTCTAGAAGGTGGTTCAATAATACTGTATGTACAGGGCTCCCCTCTTTTCATTGCCACAGCATTCAGCTCCACTGTAGGTGCCATTTGATCTGCATATAACAGGGAGGGATGGCACATAGGCTTGTTGATACTGAGAAACTTCAGGAGGGCAAGAGTCAAATTTGTATTTATTATTTCATACCCATGGTCTAATTTATAGATAGCATCTTTTCACTCTCTGAACCAGTACCTGAATGGAAATGATGCAGACAGTGGAAAAGCTACTCCCAAACCTTGTATCTTTGACTGTTACTTCCATAGAGGAACATTTTATCAGAAATTGGATAGATGTTCTGTTCTATGAGACCATCAATACTACAGATAAAAAGTGCTAAAGCTTTTGAAAGAACTTCCATTCTGAGATCCTTGATTTCACCACTGACTATGAAGAGAGAAAGGATTTAATAGTAGCAGCTCCTATTGCCAGTCTTATGTCAAATTAGTGCAATCAGCTGCTTCTTCTCAATCATGTTTTTTCAATTTTCCCACCCCAAATTGAATTTGTATTTTCAGACCATCACAGAACTCACGGCCACAAGCACGAGCCTTGGGAACTGGTTTCTTGTATTGCGTGTTTTCCAATGCTGCAGCAGCTGCAGCATGCTGAGCCTTCTTTATGCTTGGGCCTAAGGGAAGTACACCAAGAATCCATGTCAGTCCTGCTTCTGCAAGTGAACTTCATGGAATTAGCAGCACGTAAAACTAACCTGGGGCAGTGTACTCTTCATCACCAAGCTTGAGCATCACACTGAAGGTCTTTTTATGTGCAGGACCAGTTTCATTGATCAATCTATACTGATGTTGAATCTAAAATGAAAACATGAATGCTTAGAACTATCCATTCTCACTTTTGGGTTTCTTAACACTAAAAACATGAAACCAGAGGGAATGGCAGGTTGGAAATGGATATAGAAAAGAATATACACCTTATTGTGCCTGGCAAGTTCATTGACAAGACACATAGGAGTCTTCTCTTTGGATGGACTGGTTGGGTCTTGAGCTTGAGATAAAGACCTTTGAAGTTGGGGCTGAGAGGAATCATGAGGACCGGGATGTGCCCCAGCCACATTGGCCTGATCCTTGAGACCCATCTTAGACTGCAATGGCATCATGCACCCAGCTGTTCCCATCACTCCCTCCCCCAATCCTCCACCTCCGTTCAGCAGCTGGGGAACAGTGACAATAAGGGACTTTCATCTCACTATGTTCTGTCCTTCAGAAGTTAGATGGTAATCTTCAACAGGAAGAGGAATTGCAAACAATTCTTGCCTGTGATGGCATAGGAGCTGATGGTGCAGGAACCACAAGAGGTGTCACAACAGGAACAGCAACAGCTCCTATATTTCATAGATAAAAGACACTCAATCTCAACCGGGTCCTCTGAGATAAAGAAAATGTAGGTGTTAATGATATGAATCAGTCAACAGATCCCTTGTCTCCTTACCATGTGGATGATGAGGAACAGATGCAGAAGGATGTGGAAAGATTATGCCTGGAGCTCGTGAACGGAGATGGCCCCGTTGTGGATAGCCACCTAAATGCATCATAGGGGCATGGGGGTGATGGGCTGCCATGGGGTGTGCATGTGCCATAGTTCTGTCTTCACCTCTGGACCGATAAGGTCAGACCTTGAGCTTCCTGTAGGCTTACTGTTGATGATCCCTTCTTTTAAGCCTAAAGGCCTGAGCCTATGGGTCTAGGGGCAAATGAACTCTTCAAAACCTGCAAATATTGAGGTTCACAATCAGTCATGACAGGTGTCAAATAGTCAAGTAAAAAAAAAAATGGGGGGCAGGGGACATAAGGGGGATAACCCAGGCCTACACTGCTAGGAAAACTTATTGCATCAAGATTAAAATTTTTATTTTCAGTTTCCTTTCCCCAATGTAAAATGAAATCACTAAACTAAATGTCTGCAAGATGTTCAGCAAATGTACATATATTACCCCCAGTGCTGCATTTTTTATTTAGCATTCCCAGTGTAAAGTAACTACAACTTTTAAGGATAAAGTAGAGAAACAATTGAAGTTGTGGTATTACAGGAACCCCACACTGGGAATGTGAAGCCTGAAAATGAGCATACTCAAGCAATATGGTGAAAGGGTAAACTGTCAGCAATATCCAATTTACAGAAAAACTAGATTAATGTGAATGTTCACTGGCAAATTCCAAAAAGGGGAGACTAAAGCAAAATGCAAAAGTGACCTTCCCACATCATACATTGCCATTCACTTTAGTCACTGAAATTGCTCAAGTCCCTAAACGCAAAGTTCTGATTAATGGTTCTGATATCCCTATGCTGCCTTCCAACTCTGGTGGTAGCCCTACTGATAGAAAGAACCTGTATTGATGCCATAGTCTCACACAACACTGCCTACTCCCTGAGTTCTCAGAAGAGAAAGAGGATGACATTCCTAACAGCTCCTTGGTGTTTCATAAACTCAAAACTAACTCAGCCAACTCCTCATACTCTACAGTCCATTTGAAAATTTAAATATTCTACCCTTAACAACTTCACATCAACCAGGCTAGCATGACACTAAGAGCAACAAGCTTTCCTTACAAACCAAAAGAAATCTGAAAATTTAAGAAAACATAACCAGTAATCAATTCCTTAATTAGTAAATTATATCTAAGTATGTCTTCTTGAGTTTTAAAACTTCTTTCAATTTAGAAGGTAAGTTTACTAGTTGCTCATGGTGACATGCTTGCATGGTTGATATGAAGACACTGTAGAGGGAATAGGAAAATTATCAAGGAAACTGTAAAATATGAGAGGTTAGAGAAGTTAGTCAGTTTCAGGTTAATGAAAACACCAAGGAGCTGTTGGGAACATCAGCCCTAGTCTCACCACCCAAGAACACATCAGCCTGAGCCTTCTCATTTGAGAAAAGGGAAGTAGGTAGACAGCACTAAAATCATAGGACCTTCATAAAAAGCCTAACCATTGGACATTTTATGAAGGTCCCCATGGGAATGAGGCTCTGAAATATCCAGACATTGGAGGGTTACCCTGGAGAAAAGAAAGGCATGGGCTCCCCTGAATATATCCAATAGCTATGCTCAAACTTCAGAAAGGTGGACTGGAATAACCCCCCCACCTGAACTTAAGTCCAGTGACAACAAAGAATCCTTTTCATAGAGCCTTTCCTGAACCCTAAATAAATTATAAACCTACCAGCTCATCATGAATTTCTGCAATTAAAAAATGCAAAAAATAGCAAGACTTTTCAGAATCAGACCGGCTACAGTACGTCTTGTGAACATGTACACCCCGACTTCATTATGTGAACTACCACCATGTGCCTATCCACAGACCCACTCATCGAGGATAAGGAAACAGCGGATTAAAACAAACATTAGGCATAGGTCTATACGTATATGAATAGGCTAGGCCTCCATGGGAGAGGTGGTGGCCAGCAAAGCTACGGAGGGAGCGTAGAGCCTCGTGCTGACCGCGCTACAGCTGCACGACTCGGGCAAAGCTGAGGCCTACCTTTTCATAACTCAACTGAGTGCACCACCAATAACTTACCGAAACTGCCTAGTATGACTTCTTGGATTTGTTTCTAACACCTAAACCTAAGCAATATCAGTGTGGCGGAGGCACACCGATACCCCACGAACCCATCCGCGGTGTGGTGAGGCGAGACACGGGCAGCTCCATAGTTACGGTAGAGGCCTGCCTCACATTGGAAATCCCTTGACCTGGGTGGGATTGTGCACGGAGATGCGTTTGGTGCCGAGAGATGCTTTGTCGTGCTTTCTCTGGGGGTTCTATGGTCATAATGATCCGGCCTCGCTTGGGATTAGTACAAAGAGAAATAAATTGATGAAATGAAGTCGAACCACTCTCTGCCGGAGACCAGTCGATGCCTCTTCACAGGTGGTCCTCTTGGAACTCTCCTTCGCTGCTAATCGCCAAGGCTGAGATCGTGCTTGGGATGGGCCCAGGCACGGTTTATTTGTGCACTGAAAGACTTGCCACCCACGTACCACAATATTAGTATTGCCTTGTCAGATACAGCCTCGAGCGTCGAATATCGTCCGGCGTGCGGGTCTGCAGAACTCATCGGGCCCGAGTTTTGTGTCCGGTAGAGCATGATCCCGTTCTATTACTAGAAGGTACTGCATGTTGGGTTGGGTTCTGTTGGGTTCTGAGCTGAAGAGCCAATTATTATATTTATTTAAAATGTTTATTATAATTAATAAGGTCTGCATGTGACCCTATTTGACCAACGCATTAAATTCCTCATCCGTTCTATTCTCATGGTAAATCTTTTAAAATATAATTTTTTGTATTCTTTTGCTGTCTGTCCACCCATATCCTTTTAATGATTTTCATACCTGAGAAGAACCTAGTGTATCTTCCACTCCGTCTAGCCACAAAATAGGAATATGGAATCCTTCTTCCCTGGCGAAGCCAATCGGGTCGAGCACGATACCGAAACAGTCGCGTTATGAGGCACAATAGCGCCCTAAAGTAATCGTGAATCGTGATGAAATCGAGCCTATCCTCGTGGAACGCGTCACCCTCGCGACTCACGGAGGCGCTCGCACTCGGAGCCCCAAATCGACTGACCTCCTTCCATCCCCCAAGGTCTCGGAGTTGAGAGACTTTTCTACTGGTGCGCTCTCGGGGATCCTCCCAGTCTCCTTCCGACGACCTCAGAAGGCGAACTGGAGCGAGACCTACCGAATCGGTTTCTGCAGTGCTCGGTAGGTTTTGTTCTAGGATAGCCTGCATGCTTTTTCATGCGCGAATTATTATGAACAGAATATATATGTTCTCACTCAGTTTATAGATGTCCCCAAACTGCAGTACGACGTGCTACAGTCTACAGTACTACGAGTCCACACATTGCCAAAATCGGTTCGTCAGTTCATTGGAAACCTTTTCCTATTCTGTTAGTTATATATCAGTACTAGCCACTGGCAGCAGAAACATTGCCAAAATGGACGTGTCCATCGGTACCACACTCATCCAAATAAGTTCAGTAATTTTTGCGCAGAGGCTACCCAAATAGTTTTTTTTTTATACCGCTTTTCAAACATTTTATTTCTTGTTCTGACTTGGAAACCTGAACACTCAGAAATGCAGAAATGACCGATGAGATGATTCCGTAAATGCCTTCACAGTTCGGGAAACTCCATTCGATACTTCCCACGTAATACTTTTCAGTACTGCAAGAACTCACCGCCCGGACCCCATCAGGAACTTCTCCATCTAAGGATCGTAACCACCAAGAATGTACCGTTTGTAAAATTGATTAGTCGTTTCGCGATGAGCTCACACGCTCCCATAAGGGCACTGGTTCTAATAGTATTTCGACTCAAGGGACATCTACTAAATGCCAGTTAACGTCACATAGTAAGAATGGAGAAAATGTTAACCTCTGTTGTCGCTAGGCTCAAAATAAGCAATGGTTTGCGAAGGGTGTGTAAACTCATCTCGCACTGCACGGGTATGTTTCAGTGAGCTGATGGTCGTAGACCACATCATTAGACCCATTCAAATATAGTACCGACTTGCCTACTTGGAACAGGGTCGATTAGGTCAACTAGGAATGAACGTTCGGTCATCCCATGCTTTGTTTTTGACATGAAACTCGCTTTTCTTGAGTTGCCCGCAAACTCTGACGGTTTCAAAGTGTAGTCTGTTGACGTTGAAACTCTTCGAGACAGATCTGCCCATGGTCAGCAGCGCTGTAATTGCGGGAAAAATGTTCAACTGGAATTTATTCATCGATTAACATCATCATTTATATCCCTAAATGACCAAAGGGTGTGGATTTCGAAAAACAATCATGCCATGTACGTTATGCTGTCGTTGGTAGAGCAAAAACAATAGAAAGCTTTTGCAGGTGTGATTGAAAACTGTATGTAAAGGAGTTTCAACTCCCAGTCCAAAAAAACTTCAAAAAAGTTCCCGGTGACATGTCTATTCAAGAGGCGTAAGGAAATCTGGCCGCCGAAAGCGATAAAAACGTCGCTTAATCCTACATAAGGAACATGCCCTCTTCACGGCGGAATTAATCCACTCGTGCTCCAAAGCGAAAGACGAGAAATCAAACAAAGTCGAATTTTTTTTCCCATCACTCTGCAACCGTGAGCTCAGACAAGGAACGGCAAGGATTCGAAGCACGACATCGATTGCATGGATATGTGCGGTCGACAGGACAGCGACAGGAGTGCAAATCCCCCTACAGTTTCATGCCGAGAATGTAGAAGGAATGAGTGCGTGAGGAGAAGAAAGGCTTCCCGTCCACCAAGTATTCCTGAGCGGGGAACTCGGAGAGGAGCTCGGCGTCCAACTTGGAGCAGATGGCGACGGTGCGTGCGTTGGATGCGATCACGTACATCCCGCCGGCACGCTTCCTCCCGACCTCGAGGGAGAACCGGACGAGGTTCCCCCCGATCCCTCTCGTCCCCCGATCGCTGCGAACGCTGAGGATCTTGATCTCGAGGAGCCTCTCGGCCCCGTACCGCTCGTGCAGGTCGGGCACGTCGGCGAGGAACCGCGACACGGCCCCCTTCGCCCGACGCATCCTCGGCGGCAGCCCCTCCGATCGCTCCTCGAAGCGCCTGTCCCCCCTGGCGTGGACGGCGTTGAGGGCCATCCCCAGCAGTTCCCCCGTCGACGCCTCCCTGGCCGCGATGCTCACCTCGTCCTCGAACGCCAGGTCCAGAGAGAGCCGAGAGAAGCCTCTCACGTCCTCGTCGTCGAACGGGATCTCGTCCAACAGGGGAGCCCGGGGTAGGAAGTCCTCCGCGAGGAGCCGCGCCGCTTCGTCGCGATCCGATTCTCGCAGCAACGAGTACCGGACCCCGTTCACTTCCACCGGGTCCATCGTCCGAATCCTAGCGACGAGAAAGAGGAAATTCGTGTACGCGAGAGTTCGATCGGGGGTCCGATCGGGGCAAACGACACGACGACGAGATCCAGACCCACCGAGAGTCGCAGCGACACCCGATACGAGAAACCGAGACGAGATATTAAGAAACTGAGGAACGATAGAAAACGGAGAGACCGAGGAGAAGGCGGAGAAGCCGTAGAAGGCGGTCGATGAAACGAGACGCCGAGGGAACCCAATGCCTCGGCGAGGCGACGGGACTCCCTCATCCATATCAACAGTCCCTCGACGAGATTGCGCTCCTCATCGCATGATACTCCGTTCCCGGATTCTTCCGGGTCCATGGCGAGAGAGTGAAGGGGGGGAAGGGGGGGAGGGGGGGAGGGAGATGGGGGGGAGGGGAGAAGGGAGAAGGGAGATGGGGAGTGAGAGGGTGCAAGCGAAGTCCGTCGGAATGCTTAGACCCTTTTCGCGTCTGAATATGAAGGACACTACGAACGCATGAGGTCTCTGGCCATCCACGCGCATTTCCGTCAGTCACGCGTCCATTATATTCTCGGCTTTTTCACTAAGTCTGTCGACCGTATAAAAACCCGAAGAGTGGAGAGGAAAGAAAACATTCCCGACGCGCACGGCAGGAGCGAAGCCCCGATATCTCCCCGCGATGGATTCGGCGAATGCTGCGTAAAAATGCGAAATGGAAGTTTGAAGTCCGGAAACGGAAAGTCCTTCGACGCCATCGGATTTCCCGCTCTTCCGGCTTTCTATCTCGCGATTTAGGCGAACGGGAAGTTTGGTAAAAAGAATGTCATGTTTCCAGACTTGAAGCCATTTCATGGTTTGCCGGGCATGCATATGGCTTATAGCCAGGGCCGGATTAAGGGAAGGGGGGACGAACGAAGAGTGGGAAGAACGAGATGAAATAAGCCATGCCGAAAAGCAAGGGTGGCTTCACATCCAAAGGAGTGGTGCCGCCGCAAGACGATCTAACCCCGAAAACGCCCGTCTCCATCTGGACAATCTTTGACCTCTGCTGGGAATTCTATATTCCACCCACCTAATAAATCAAATTCTGCCTCATCCGACCATCATCTTTTCTCGCTAATAAAACGTGTATTGCATGGAAAGAGATATCGAGTGAAAGACTGCCCTTTACTAAAACCTACTCCATAACTTGGAGGAATACGGAAACCGGGGACGACGACGGAAGAAGTCCGCACCTGATTCGTGCTCATCGCATCGAACAGGCAGAAGCGGCGTGAAAACGCCTCAGGGCGATGCGTTCGGCCCTCCTCGTCCACCACCGAGGAATCGTGCATCCACGCGAGCGTCGTCTTCCCGCTTGGATGCTCCATTCAAACAGGACGTCGGAGAGAAATTCTCGCGTCGGAATGGGAGAAGCGGGAAAACTGGACGACTCCTCGCGTCCTCGCCTCGCCCAGATCAAAATCCACACTTTTTTCTCTTCTTTGCGTCACTTTTCTCCCTCATCGTGTTCGTGCGGTCACGTAACCGCGGGTTTCCTTCTCCGTCTGATGATAAATGCGTCTGTCGACACGAGGCGCCCGATCGGAAAGCAAAATCGAGACCCACCACTCGACGCTGAAGTGAAAAGCGCAAAATGCATGGGAAACATCGGCATGTTTTCCCCCTTCAACTTGCAACTCGAGACCGAGATCTCGCCGAGAATTTCTGACCGCGGTCTATCCGCAGTTTTCGAAGGTAATTCGAGATTTGAGTCCAGTTTAACTCGACCGGAAACGAGACTCCCATTTTAAGGCTAGTGAAAAATATGCAAAATTTGTTGGTGATTTCTTTTTATGCTATAATATTAATGTACATGCATGTCTTTACGCGTCTTGAAAGCTTCAGGTCAATCTGACTATATCTCAGCTGATTATCCGCCATTTTTAAATGCCCAACTCTTCTCTGCCCTTTAAATTGTTTTTCCCCCCGCTGTTTTTACATTTAAATTTTACTACTGAAAACTAGGCAACATGGGGACTTGAAAATTTCATCACATGTTCTGTGTATTATGTTATATAATCTCCGGCATGCTGGTGTGTACTGCTAATAGAAATGAGGGGGAAAATGTACAAATGTGCATTTAAAAATTTTCATTTGTACGTTTTCTTTGTATTTGAACTTGTTAGTCCTTGCTTATTTAAATAATAGTGTTGGGGTTTGTAGCATAATTCATAAGCTTCAAGATGAGCCATAATTCGTCAAAATCCGTTCATTATTGCCCGAGTTATAAGATATAAAAGAAAAGTCAGCATTTTCAAAAAAAAATGTTATTCAAAATTTCGAAAACTAAATTAATAATTAGCATTGACTTTAATAAATTCATGTCCTTCTGGTACTACTGTATCATTTCGTGCCAACTTCAAAGTTTTCAGTTGTTCTTTAATATGATATTAAGGCGCGGGTTCAAGTCGATCGGGTCGGGTCGGGATCCCCCCAGATGAGGCGGGATTTTCCGGGATTTTCCGGGATGGATGGGAGGTCGCTCCCTCGTTCCCGGTGAGATCGAAGGAACGGAGAAGGGGACGGGGTCAGCTTCTCGTCGTCCTCATTAGCATATCTCCCTGGAGACAATTGCTTGGGAAGGATCGGGCGACGGTCGACGAAACGGAAAGCCATCGATCCCTCGTCGTGATCCGAGCGAGTCTCGACGGACGGATTCCGAAAACGACCGAGGACGGTGGGTTTCGAGGCCTTGGCGTTCTCCCACTTTTCCGAGTCGTTGGCCTGTTCTTGTCGCCCGGGGCGGCGAAGAGCATTACGTCACCCGACGTCACTGGAACTCCACCGGTCGATCCAGTCTCCGTTTGGCTGCCGTAGCGGACGGTTGCGTGCATCCCCTCCGGGTGATTCATCGACTTTCACCCGTTCTGTTTTTTTCGAGTGACTCCATTCGGTGCGTCTGCAGCGACGGTCGAGACGAGGCAGTGTCCGGTGCGTCTTCCACGCCCTGCCCCTCCCAAGCGACGACGAAGGGGAAGAGAAGAGCTCCTCGATCGGAGTGACCGAGTGTTCGGTCGAAAGAGTGACAGTGGCGTGCACGGGAAGCGGGTCGAGGAGCGGCGACGGTGCGTCGCCGTCTGCTCCGCCGTCGATGGATCCAACACGAGTCCCCCCCAGGATCTTCTACGACGAAATCGATGCTAAACCGCAGAGGTAACATCCACGTAAAAATAAAAATAAAATAAAAATTAAAAAAAAAAACAACAGAAAGAGTGAAATGCCTGTGGCACCCATATCAAGGCTCATGGGTAAATCTTGTGGAAACTGCAGGACCTCCCCCATGGCTCCGCGGGCATCCGAGGACGAGAGAGGAGAAGGAGCCGGAACGGGTGCTGTCACTGCACCTCATCGTCGGTAAGCAGAAGCAGCCTCTTCGATATCAGCCGTCTTTTCTCCCTTCCATCGTCATTCTTGTCCTCGACTGGCATTCATGGGTCTGGATATCGTTAATGCAATGTGTCATTGCAAAAAAAAATAGAGGTATGACATCTTACATAAAACAACAGCCCCGTAACTTGTTTTTGTTAAAAGCGAGCTCATGACACGAGTTGTAATCTTGCATCACGTGAAAAACTATTATTCTCTTTCATCTATAAAACATGAATCGATTTGGTTTTTTTTTATATTAAACTTTTCTTTCTCAGGATTTTTTTAAATTCAAACTTTGCGATTTAAACTCATTTATATTCGTCTTTGACCTCTCGCTCTTTGTGTTTCAGCGACGAAACGAAACACGACGATCGATATCATCAACTACTTAGCCTTCGTCTCACGTAGGAAGTTAAGAGTAGCTTCCTCTTCGCGCAGCCAACCTTTGATCTCGATTCCTATGTGAGAAGTTTTCCGAGAGCTTGAAGCACGGGATGAAACCAAACCCAGACCTATCAGAGCTGAAACCGTCAGGGGTCACGCTCCTTCCAAAACGAGGAAACGATCCGCCAGGCCAAGCGCGTCCCCCGCAAAGCCACGACCCACACTATCCTTCCAACCTTCTTATCCATCCTTTCCAGCCCATCCTGCTAACCTTCTTATCCATCCTTACCGGCTTTCCAGCCTGTCCAATGAGCCAGTCCTCATGCACGAGGCGTGGAAGGCAGACGAGCGATCCTCGCTCGTGCACTTCGAGCCCATCGTGCGTGTTGTACTCGTGCAGTCAGACGAGGAAAGGATATTTCCACGTCATTGACATTCAGACCTGGTTCGAGAGTATCGCCGCCACGGAAATGTCGAACGCCGAAGGCAGTCGTAGGGGATCGTTCCTCGGGACCCGAATATGCGCCAATAAAGGAAAATAATTCGAAGCCATGTTCCCCCCCCCCCCCCCCCAGTCCATCGTAAATCGTGTTGAAACTTCTCAAGGTCAGGCAGCTGACTGTTACTTCATATCGGCAACCCTCTTAGTGGTAAAAGCTTAACCGCAACGAACGTGGGGGGATTTTCACTTCTGAGGGCAATTCCTGGAAGTCATTCTGCTCGAGTGATTTTTTTTTAAATTCCCAGGAGATGGAACCAGCTCTCGAGTCGTTATCGTAGCTATCGTGAGCGCAGAGGAAGAGAAAATATGAAAAATAATTCGAGGTGATGATCTGGTCTCCTTTCCTATCCGAATGAGGTTCATGAATCCCGAGTCGAGTCCAGGTGAATCTCCAATTCATCCAACGATACGAATCAATCTGCAGAGGATTGACGCGTGCCCAGACATGATATTTTTTAACGAAGAAAGCCTGGTCTCCTTGCCTCCTTTTCGATTGAGCTCATCCCAATTCCATAGGCAAGCCCTGCGTTTTGTGAAAACCCTTGAATGCGAGTGGACACGCGTGCGTCTGCCTGTCCAAGGAATGACGCAAGGGACGCATGACAGGCAAAATGTGGAACGACCTTAAGGTTTTCATCTTCTGAATGTTTTAATTTTTTTTCCTGCTAACCTTGCCACCTTATACGGTCACTTTTGCATACGAAAATTTTCAAAATGGTTCATTATGCGAAATGGGCACAGAATGTACTTTTCAATACTGGAAGTACATGGACGTTGACACCCCGGGAACGTATCCACTCAATCGGTACTTCCATTGTCGAAGTTGACCGAGTAGTTTTTACGACAGGGTGATCGGTTGAATCGATCGCTTGTGGAAAGTATTTGTCAGTATTCTCAGTCTTAGGTTCCCCCAAAATGTAGATATTCACACTCGGTCAGCTCTATCCCTACCACACACGTTCAATTTCATGGAAAACCTAAATCAGTTCTCCCGGAACAATGTCACTTCTTGAGACCCTTGAAAGACCTCTCTCGGGGCGAGTCGAGTACATTGGGATATCCTTTTCCAGATTCCATGGAATCTTTCTTGCTATAGTGCCAGCCTAGGATATTTTCGTTTGAATACCTGTATTTCAAAATAGCATCAGTTGTTCGTTATTTTTTACTTCTCAAAAGTGAGGATGACGAGAGGGGAGAAGCTGCGAACGACCACGAGAACCCGACGGAAGAGATCCTCACGGAAGAGCCCGTGAAGCCACCCGTGCGGGACCGACGGAGAAAGAAGGTGGAGCCGACGGCACCGTCTGACGTGGCAGCGGGAACGGGAGACGTGGCAGTGGGAACGGGAGACGGGGCAGCGGTGGAGGCGAAGGAGCCCAAGGGCGGGGAGCCGGAGATGAAAGAGCCCTTGATCGGTGCGCTTCCCAAGAAGAAGTCCCTGTTCGGGAAGCTGTATTCGCCGTTGAGGAGGAGGACGACCCGGAAGCCGCCCAAGAAGGTTCCCGACGTCGCGGACGATCAGTCCGAGGAAGGGTGAGGACGAGAACGGTCCAAAGGGCGATGATGCTCTGCGAAATGGGCATTTTCTTCGGAATTCTCGAACATCGTGCTTCTTTCGTTTGCCGTAGAGTCGTGTGGCAGTGCGCCGTCCCGGGAGAGATGGCCCAATACGACTCGAAAAAGCCAGAAGAAAGGGGGATCCGGGGGTGGGCCATCATCTTCTACTACAGCGACTTCACCAACGGTCTTCCGCCTCGCGAGGGAGTGGAACACGACTTGGTGAATCTCAGACGCGTCTTTAAGGAAAGGGGCTTCCTCGTCAAAGAATACCCCGGTCTCACATACACAAAATTCATCGAGGAGCTTCAACGAAGGGAGCCCCCCCCCCCCCCCCCCAAGAATCATTGAAGTCGAGTCAAACGGCAGCTGAGTTTGTTTCCCTGTTTGGCAGTCGCGCATGCGCAGGACCTCGAGCGTCACGACAGCCTGGTCATCTGCTTCCTGTCGCACGGACTGGAGAGTCGCCTCTACGCCACGGACGCGGACTTCGACGAGAGCGAGCTCTGGAGGGAGTTCTGCGGAGATCGGTGCCCGGCACTCAACGGGAAGCCAAAGCTCTTCTTCATTCAGGTTAGGGGTCATTCGCCCGAATGGAAATAATTACTGACGGTAGCAGTAAGTCTTAATACGATTGCGAAGGACTCGTATTTTGGCTGGATGAGTTTTCGATGTCGCTCGCACTCTTGGGCCCGGAATATCGTCTCGACGGTACTTCGATCGCTCGGCAGTCGCGCCTCGTGTCGATTTTTTCGTCTCCCATGCATGCATAGCGAGATGACCTGGTCTATTCGTGCAGGCTTGCAGGGGACATCGACTCGATCACGGGGTGATGGGGAAGATGAGCAGCGTGATGCACTCGCTCGCGGACTCGCTGGACAGCAGCGGCCACCACGGTCGCCGCGTCGGGGAGCACCACCTCCCGACCCACGCGGACATCCTCGTCGCTCACAGCACCTTCGAAGGTCAGTCTGCGCTCGGCGGGCCGCGAACGTTGTTTTTCGCGGTTTCACGCGATTCGTGCACCCCCTCCCCCGTGATGTACTGGGGAAAAGGGGAGCATAGGTCTATCAGGAAGTGAATTAAACCAGGGAACGATTTGACTTGGGTCGGGCCTGCATGCGCGCATACTGTTCAATTATAACGAAAGTCTCTCGCTCCAAACTCAGGTCACGTGTCTTGGAACAACGCGCAATTGGGATCCTACTTCGTCTACACCCTGTGCAAGGTCATGGAGCAACACTCGGCGAACCTCGACATCCTGAAGGTGCTGACCATGGTGGCCGGCATCATTGCTAGAGACTTCAAGTCCACGCACAACCAGCCGGAACGGCATGCAAAGAAACAGATGCCCACCATCAGAAGCACGCTCACGAAGGATCTGTACCTCTTACCCCTCAAACCATCGACAAGCAAGCCCTAGTAGCGGGTTTCTTTCGACTGCCTTTGCTAGTGATCTGTTGCACGGGACGTTTGTTTTCGATTCGAGATCGCATGCATGATTCTCGTGATTTGTAATTCAAACCCCGTGATGTTTTTTTTTTAAACGGAGAATTAAGGGGAAATAAAGACACAGCTCTTGAGGAAATTGACGATATGCATTTTCATTACAAAAAATAGAATCTAAAAGAAGCTTTTGACAGCTTCCGCTACGAAAGGGGCTTCACTAGGAGACAAGGACCGCGAACATTAGTAGACGTCGCGGAGAAGCATGGCGTTCACGAGCGTCCCAGGTCGGAGGGTCGTCTGAGTTTCCGATCTCGGAGGTAGCATCAACAGAGCATTGGCGGATTTCATGCTCAAAAGCCGGCTGCTTTGCTGACCGCCGGTGGTGGTGGCTTCAGGGACGCTTTCCGTGGGGGTCCAGCGCAGGACGCAACGCTGATACTCCGGTCGCGGGTCCAGCTTCACCTCGGAGGCGAGGCGGACCTGGAGGACCGGCGCGACGAAGTCACCCACCCCCGCGATCTGCTTCAGGGCGGGGAGGACGAAGAGGTGGAAGGTGACGATGGCCGACACGGGGTTCCCGGGCAATGCGAACACGAGCTTCTTCCTCCCTTCCCAGTCCAGCGTTGCGAACGTGGTCGGCAGCCCGGGTTTCATGAAGACCCGCCCGAAGTGGATGGTGGCGTGGAAGCCGTCGGAGAGGAGGGGCTTCAACAGATCTCGTTCTCCCATGGAAACGCCGCCGGTGCTGATGATCACATCGCACGCTGCCAGGCCTGCTTCCAAGCGTTCCTTCAGGTTCTGCATGGAATCGTTCGCAACCCCGACATCCCTCCCCGCGAATCCGTTCTCCTCGAGGGAGGCGAACAGCGTGGCCTTGTTGCTGTCCCTGATGGCTCCCCCCGTGAGGGGGCCTTCGTGGAAGGGAGGCAGCAGCTCGTCCCCCGTCGACAGGACCCCGATCCGAGCCTTGCTGTAGACCCGTACCCTCGACACGCCGACCGTGGCCAAGAGACCCATTTCTGCCGCTCCGATTCGAATTCCGGCTGATAACACTTTTTCACCTGCGGCTGTTTGAAAAAAAAAAGGTTAATATGAAAATGGTTCGCTTGTTCGTTACAGGATCACTAAAATCTACACATGAAATGGAAGAGCCGGGAAGCGCGAAGGCCTCTCTGGATCATTTTAAAAACCTAATCGTGCATGTTCGCACGGGTCTGGCGATAGAAGAGATTGTACGCTCAAAATCGATCAGAACCAGAGATGGCTCTTGACGTGATACTGAATATGATTGAGAATTTCTACAAGGATTAGGATAATTGAATTTCTCACCCAAGGCCGAAAAAATGAAAATAAAATCCTACTGTGATGACTTATCATAACTAAAGATGGAGTTAACATATGTTCTGAAGAAGACTTTTCGATCAAGATTTCCGTCGCCCACAGTCGGCATTCGGTTTCACACTTCTAAACGGTGAAGTTTTGACCTTTGTGACGACCTCCACCCACCACCCAAAAACATGGTAGTGGACCATTCGATCATGTGTCTGTCCCGGGTTTTCTCCCACACCTTTGAGAATGCCTGTCGATGGGAAAGGAAGTGGGAATGTCGTTCACATACTTCTTCCGGGAACAAAAAAAAAAAATTATCGCCGAAGGCACCTTGCACTTCATGGCCATCTGCTCTTAGTATATTGTGATGGTGAAAAAAGAAAAACTTGATAGACTGGAAGTGCGGCAGCAAAGGGAGGGAAAAGAGGGTTCGATCCTTAGTTTTTGCCGTTCCCATATTTCTACACGCCGACCTTCATCGCAGGATACAAGGCGAAACCATGGAGCGTTTGTGAACGAATCGAATGAACGAATACGAGCGCGTCGTCGGAGTCAGCTTCTCGAAAAAAAAAAAGTTCCGAGGAAACGTGAGTACGCCGTACGACACGCCTCCTCGCCAACGTGTTCGCGTGCATACAAACCTATGTCGGAACCGAGAGGGCGGATGTCCAGGCCGGGAGAAGGCGCGGAAGTGATCTCGATCTCTTCTTCTACGGTGCCGTCCTGAGAGGCCCTGACGAGGACGGTGTCCTCCACCTGGACGACGGCGTCGGCAGAGCTCGGGACGGGAGCACCCGTGTTGATCCGGATGCATTCGCCCGGCCGGATCTCCAGTGCGTCCGTGCGGGACGCGGCGAGGCGGGTCCCCACCACCTTCCTCCTTCCGGATCCGTCCGAGGCGAGCACGGCGTAGCCGTCCTTGATGGAGGCGCGGAAGGGGGGGAGGGGATCCTTTGCGAACACGTCGGCGGCGAGGACGTAGCCCAGGCTCTCCGCGGATGGCATCTCCTCCGTTCGTCGAAATTCTGGGGATCCGGCTTCCTTTGCGATGGTCTTGAGGGCGGCGGGGACGTCCACGATGGGGAAAGGAGACTTTCGCGGTCTGTCGGCTACTTTCATCGCGGGGCATTCGGCATGCGTTCGCATCTTGGCGTGCTCGGTTTCCACCTTCGCCGCGTTTTCGCGAAGCAGGTGGACGGCATGAGATAAGCAGGGCAGGATGGCGCGGAAACATTCCAAGCTTCCCTTCTGACTCCCTGGAAGATTCACGATGAGGGTCTTCTTGCGAACGCCACTCACTGCCCGAGACAGCATGGCCATCGGGGTGACGGCCAGCGAAGTAATGGCCATCTGAAGCGAAATTCCGGGAATCTCGCGGTCGAGAATCCCCCTCGTCGCTTCCGGGGTGACATCACGCGGGGCTATTCCGGTCCCACCTGTGGTCAGGATGACGTCTAGTTCCAAGCGGTCGCACCATTGAGTCAGAGTGTCCTTGATGGGCTGGATCTCGTCGGGGACGCAGGCGGTGGCTTCGCACACGGCGTTTGGGGATTCGGACAGTGCGTGTCTCAAGGCGGGGCCGCTTTTATCTTCAGTCTCCCCACGGGAACAGCGGTCGCTCACCGTGAGGATCCCGTATTTCATCACCATTGCCACGCACGACACAAGGTTCGGTCGATACGAAGAAGACCTCGCTGCCTTTCGTTAACCGGGTGGACTGTGTGAAACATCGGAGAAGTCTCGAGAAGTGCGCAGCTCCGCCCAGAAGTGAACTAGCGGGATCGGCATTCGTCACACTCCTATGCCTTCATGGCAGCTTCCGTGGGAGTCAATCACCATGGCGGCCTCTAGGGGGTGGAAGTTGGTTGGTGCTGGACTTTCGGGACGTGGGATCTCCCGTGGGAAGTTGGTGGGTCTGTTGGCCTGAAGACAAGAAGTGCCTGTGATCTATCCGGAATTAGAGATGATGCAACCAATAATGCATTACTCTATACCAGAAACGAGAGATCTTAAAGACGACAAAGGATCTTATATGGTAAGGCATTTTCTCACACTATTTCCATTAGTAGGAGGTCCTTATCCTTACCGACTTAACGTTAGCCCTAATTCTATGACTTGGGTCTAGTACCCGAAGACGGAGCCTGAATGCAATTAATTATTTCTGCAGGGATACAGCTTTCATATCAACGGGGTCCTTCATTCCTGTGTCCGCTATCGCCAGCTGCACGATTTACATGAGCGGCTGAGCCGCGCATTCGGCCAATCCACTCTTCCTCCATTTCCTCCAAAGAGGCTGTTTCCTCTCACTTCTCAACAACTTGAAGAGAGGAGAGCACGATTGGAGAAGTACATTCAAGGATGTGAGTTGGGCAAATTGTGGTAGTAGGTTATAAAAGTAATGGCCTAAATGCTGTATTGAAATACACCAAGGTTGCTGCAGTGATTTCGAATCGAGTTTATACCTCATATTTGGCTTATCTTTTTCTTGTTATATGGCCCAACTGGGAGGTAACAAAATTGAGTCTAACTAGGTAATCCAACTGGGTATTTCAAGAACAGACTGGGGTCTTCTTATATTTTGGCCAACCCTACCCATACCTACATTTTTCAAGATCCCATGGGGTATATATCTTATGCCTAAGTGGTGAGATTCCTAACTAGAGAAAACTTTAGAAAGGACTAGTTACTCATGAAAAAATTGTAAGAGGAGATTGGGGATTGAACCTGTAATATTTAACATCAAAATTAGAGTCATAGCCCCCTAGGGACACCTAATTTTCTGAGTGTAGAGGGGCAAATAGCAGAATGATTTCACCCTCCACCATGTTAGGAACAAATCAACGATTCCTTTTCCCTAGCTTGTTGACCATCCCCTGTCCTCTACATCTTATCCACTTGTGGCTCAATTGACAAGTGGGGAGGAAGGAATGGGTGCTTTGGGAGCCTAAGGATAATTTCAGCAACTTTCCTCTTGCACAAAAAAGGGAAACTTAAATTAGTAAATTCTTGGAGGGATCAAATGTACCTTTTGTTCCCCTCTTTCAAAGATGAGAGGCAACCAAACCCCTCATGCCCTGTTGGTGCTTCTATAGATAAGTTATTTGGCACCAGCTCTCCTTTTAAGTAGTGGTAGGGTTATGAAGAGACACTATAGCAATTCACACATGTATTAAACACATATGTATCACCACAGCCTTCCCATGGTTGGCCAATACCATGACCCAGGATAGAACCCAGTTTGTAGCTCCCACAGATGGAGCTACTCTGAAGCTAACTATTCATGCTTCACAAGATAGATGTTGTGTGATCCATATGGGGCTTAACTGCAAGTGCATATTCTCAGAGGACCTGAACTTATGGTCACTAGAAGTCAATCGTGTAGATACTACAGCATTGTAATGGTTGTTGAAAGTGGTGCACAAACTCATTTTGAACTTGGATGTAAAGGGAAAGGCCAGATGGTTTTTTAAAAAAAAGCAAAAGTCTAAGGTTAATTTAATATTTGTCATTAAAGGTCTATTTTGGTCAGTATTCCAGTGTTTTCCTGTGCTCTTGTTTCATCTTCAAGCTTTTATACAGCGTTTTTCACTTGACTTGGACACTCCTGCATGAGGAGCATCCAATACATGAGGACTGGAGATAAGTTGAAAATTGTAGTATAAGAGTACTTGAAAGTTAGTGTAAAATGGTTTGAAATCCCAAATTTTCTTACCAGGAATTTTACACATTATTCTGGATGTGTTATTCTCATATCTCATTTTTTTATATTTTATAGTGAGTCAGGATCCAAGGGTGAGCAACAGTTCTCTCTTCAACAATTTCTGGGTGTCAACTCAGAGAGAGAGTAGGCATATGACCTTGGAGAATGTTTCCTTGGATGTATTCCTCATGAATGGCTCCAAGCTAACCCAAGAGGTCTCTACCATCTCCCCAACTCATGAAGTCCATCAGGTGAGTGAGAAAAGGGACAGGAGAGGCCCCTTAATGCATAATCTAAATGTCTCAAGAAAGCATTGCATTAAAAAGGATGGAAGCAGAGCATGAGATCGTCACATGGGTTTCCTTATCAGATCCTGATGGCAAGCCCAGATAAATGTGAAATTTTGATAACATCTATCATTTTTGTCCAACAACAATACAATCCATAGCATTATTTAAATAATGCCATGATGAAGTGAGGGAATTGTTCCATCCCATGAAACATGTAGGATATACATTGTCTGACTGATTGCACCTCAGTCATCCAACTGAGATCAAAAGGTTGCAATCAGCCCAATGGATAAGCTTATCCAAAGAATGTCTTAGGGGCACATGCTAGGGTTATATTGAGTTGAACTGTTTTGATGTACTACATACTTTCCCATGTGGGATACCAAAAGGATATCCTAGGAATGACCCACAACTCCTTGGGAAATATTGTGGCAATTGGAAAATGCCCATAATTTACACAAGGTCATCTAAGATGGTGTCAGTAATTTTTCATCCACATTGTATAACCGAGAGAACAATTTATGATATTGTCTAAGCTGCACTTTTAGTGTTGTCTTGGCTTCCAGTTATGTAACTGCCCTTGAACCTTTGTACAGGAAAACCTCATTAATTTGAAATCCAGGGGACCAAAAAATATAGACTTCGAAATAAGTGGGTTTAAATTATCCGGTTTGGCCGTTGTTATTTTGTAATACTGTATTAAATTTGCATGTTTTACGCTGTGTATTCTCTTCCTTTTGTTGGTTTCTTGGCCACCTTCTGCCAGCCTTTCAATGGTATCATGATTTTTGAGGAATGTGGATAGAGTGTAAAAGCAGTATGCCAAATTCTTTTACGATATTGGTCTTTGATTTTACTTTCTTGTCCACTTAACAAATAACTTTCAACTTCTGTGAAATACCTAACTCATTCTACTTCCTCTTGTTCACCATGGCACATTCACCCCCATTTCACTCATAACACAGAGAGAGAGAGAGAGAGAGAGAGACTGTTTTGCCACAATTAAAATTTTTTTTGACTGAAGGTCATACAAGGTGTGCATGAGATAAGTAAGGATAGAGGGTGAGATTTAGTGAAAGGGGGCATTAGTCTATATTTAGACTTCTGAATAGAAAAATGAAGTTTCCAAGGCAATTAGCTGGCTTTGCAACCATTTAGAGTGCAAGGTTTGAGACAGGTCATCTGTAGGTTGAAGGAAAAAGTGCCCTTCAAAGTAAATGAACACGTTTCTGAGTTTATAGCTCATGGGACCACAAAATGCCTTCAAATTTCATAGCATCTGTATTTCAAATTATCCGTACTATAATGCATACATATCGCTATCTTCTCAGATGGGGAACATAAATGACTTCAAAGTATCTGATACTTAGAACTATCCTATATTGAATTAACGAGGTTTTCCTGTATATCTGCTATTGTTACCTGCAAATATTTCCCCAATTTTATTCAATTTGTTTGACATTTGAACAAGAAAGGGGATAGGCCTATCTACAATGAAGACGATGTCCACAGTTTTCAATGCACCTAGTTCCAAGCCTTCCCTTATTGCATCTAGTAATATAAAGGACACTCCTTCCATAGGGTTACTTCCTCAAGAGCTTCAAAAACTGAACTTGCAACTTGGTATCATGTTGACTAATGATGAGCGAAACAGGGATGACCAAATAAAGTCAAGGAGTGATTGAATGGAATGGATGTCTTGTTTAACATGAAGAAAATAAATGTTTGGTGTAATTAACCTGATTGAGTCTTATACGTTGCGAGTTCATATGGAAATTGTAGCATATAAGTCCCACTCTTTTCCTTCAGGTTAACAAGGCAATCATATGAATTTTCCAAAAGACTCCATAGTTAAATCAAAGCTCTTCCTGACTAATCATTTATGCTTTGTGCTCTTTCTTGTTTTTCAGAAAGTTTGTGAGAGATTAGGGCTTCCAGAGCGACTTTATCCTCATTTTGGCCTCTTCTTGATGCAAAAGCAAGAGGATGGAGGAGTTTCCAGTATGTAAACATTTTCATCCTTACTCCCTCCATATTATATTTTCATCTCTACTTTTCCCACAAATGCCTATTGATTTTGCACTCCTTTTTTCATATTGCAGTGGCCAGGTACCTGCAAGACTGTGAAAGTCCTTATATCACTCTGAAGAGCTTTGGAAACCAGTGTCGAATAGTGATAAGAAAAAAGTATGTTTTCCTTCCCCTTACTTATTTTGCTTCCTGTGATAAGTGAGTTCAATGGTGGCTTGATAGATACTTCTTGGAAAGCTGTTGCATTTAGAAAAAAAAAACAATAAATCATAGTTCATGCAGACTGAACTGTTAGAGATATATCTCCACTAGATCTGATTAAAGTGAAGTGGAACCCAAGTAATGCCATAGTGTCATTTTCATGAGAAATGAAATGTGCTTAATTTGTATTTTTATTATATGTTTCTTTGACTATGCTTTTCTCCGTATAATTTTTTCCATTTCACATGCTGTTTTGTCTCCTTTTTTAATAATTCAAATATGCACTGTTGCCTTAATATGCAACATTTCCTCCTATGATAGTGTGTCTGTGTGAGACAAAAATGTCATGTTATTGCCTTAAATAATCAGTATCTGCTAGCCATTTAGAGGAAAGTACTTTCAATAAGTTTTGAAACTTCTCCAAGAGAGCCCTATTTTAATTAGGCAGGCCAAAGAAATTAATAGGTTGAGTGAAACCTTACAAAAGCTTCAAATGGTTGTAATAAGTACAGAATACCGGCATAAGTTTTATGTTGAATAGGACATGGGACCCAGGGATTGAGCTGGAAGTGTTGCGAGATCCAGTTGGCTTAAACCTGGCTTACATGCAGACAGTGGCAGACATTGAACATGGCTGGGTCCCAGTTCCCACTGATGTCCAGGAGGCCCTGGCTCGCCTTCAATCTAGAGGAGCTAAACAGCAGGTTAGTGGGTGTGTATCTGTATCTTTAACTACCTGATTACTGTGAATCCTAATCAAAGTATTCTCTGGAATGGTTGTAGTATATGGAGGATGCAAGGAAGCAAAGGTTCTATGGGTGCATCCAATTTGACCCCTGTGTTTGTGATCACCCGGAACCGGGAACCCGGGTCACAATTCGGATGAGCTGTAAGGAGATGATCATGTGGTGTGCAGAAAAGACATGCAATGCAGCTGCTGCCTCCCCACCTATCCGTGAGACTGTGTTTCGTGTTACTCGCATCAAGTGCTGGCGTATCACCACCAAACCAAAACCACTGCCTGTATGTACCTTTATTCTTCATTAGTTCATTCTTCCTCTAATCTTTCTTTTCTTTTGAGGTTGTCCTTGCTTTTCTTAGGATGAGACAGAAGATGAGAGAATACCAACTGATCCAGAGACCAAGGAAATGGAACTGGAGTTGGCCTTTGAGTATTTGGTAGCAAAAGATGAGTTGCAATGGGTGAGAATCACAAGCCCTCAGGCTGTTCTCATGTCTCTCTGCTTACATTCCATGGTGCAGGAAATTTTCCAAACTCAGCACAAGAATCATTCTGATCATCCCACTGATGTGAGATTCCTGCAAACGTCTTAGCTCACTTTTTCTTCCTACTCCCATAACTTCATCTAATCTTTATTTTATTTCCTCCACAGGGAGGGGAGTCATCAAGAAATGGTATGAGGGTCAGCTCCTCCCTCAGCTGGCTTAGTGGAAAAATTAAAGGCAGAACACCAAGCCAACCTGAGGTGCAAAATTCTGTTTTCAACAATATTGGAGATGATGACTTGTGATTATTTTTTCCTTTTTAATATGAGATTTTGGATGGCACAGATTTAAGTTATTTAAAAAGAAAAGCAAACTGTGCCTTCCACATATCCCTGCTTGTATACCGTGGAATCCCTCTGTGGTGTAAGGTTTAAAAAAAAATGTAGAAACCCTATTGGGATTTTGTTTTGACTCAGTTAGACCATTTAGGGACTGTTCTCTGTTTCCTGACTTCTATTTCCGTCCTTTTCATGAATTCTTTTAGTTGCATATGCCATGGGTGGGTGACCAGTGGTTATTATATATTCAGCTATATTTTATATATGAATAAAAGTATATATTCAGAATCACTCTATGTTGTGGTCCCATTATATATCTACAGTTCAGAATTTCTCTTAACCATTAAGAGCATTGCTGGCTGGCTGGAGAGAAAGGGAAAAGGAATCTTCTGCAGAGAATAGCTTGTCCTAATCTTGTGCCTCATTGAGTATTCCTTGAGAATTTTTACCATTTGCTCATGGCTTAATTCCATAACTTTCACAATCGGCAGAAGGAAAATTTCTGAATTCATGTTATGGTGCTCCTGCTCATCAATATTCCTGAAGATAATTTGCTACCAAGAAAATAGAATGCATTTTCCTATTCCTATCTTGACAAGGGAGATGAAGGTCTTGGAAAATACAGTTAATCCCCCCACCTTTGGCACTGACTGAAATCCTGTGAGATTCTGGGATGAGTATAATCTAGTCAGTCCAGAATTGCCTGCAGATGGATTTTGCTGGAGAGGTAAAGGTGGTTCAGACATTCCTTGCATGCCTAGAATGGAGGCAATTGTTTTTAAATTGAAATACTTGTGGTTCAAATGGGCTCTTTTCAAAACGCATTTCATGTACACTGTTTGGGAGAAGGAAAGTGACTCAAAGCATAGGCATGAATTGTTACTATCAAATTAAAGGAGTTAATGGCTTTCAATCATTCTGATTGACAGAGGAAGTAACAGTAGAGTATTTGCAGTTTCAGTCAGTTTGAATAATTTTCATATGAAACAAAGAAGTACTTGATCCTGTGGAGCACTTCATTGTATTCATCATGCTCCATTTATTGGCTTCAGTTGGAAGATCCTAATTTGAATATAACTTAGGAACTTGGTGTATTTTTTTTTTGAGCAGCTGTTCCTATAGCCTCTTAAAGAATAAATGCCAATCTATTCATTCCTGTGGTATGATCTGGGGCAACCAAAGGTTTCAATCCAATTGCTTGCAGGCAATGTGCTACTGCCTGCTGGCAATTTCCTGGGCAAAACAGTCATGGATGTTCAATGGGGAATCCTTTACTCAGAACAAACACCATGAGAAGACTCCTTGCAGACAGGCTCATAAAGCTCCTGACAGAAACTGGAGGTGAAGCATACCACCATGGCTTGGAAGACCAGAGCAGCAATGGTGTGGGCTTTCTCATACACAAAGACAGCTGGAAATGTAAATTTCTACAATCCATCAGCCCATCTGACATGTTCAACCATTGAAGTTCTTGGTAGTGTTGGTTGAGAGTGACCAGGGTCTATGCCCCATAATCAAACCACCCAGACAAGAAAATGTTTCCATGATACCCTGGATGACTTCATTAAGACCAACAATATCTAGTTTTCATAGGAAAATGAAATAGATAATATGAAGCTAATCAAAGTGATGCAGATAAGTGAAGCATGGAACTGGACTAACCAGTATTAAGGGTGCCTACACACTGGATCAGTCTAGCCTAGTCCAGTCAGGCTGGGCAAGTCGTAGTGTGCATGCACACCTGTCAGTCTAGTCAAGTCAAGTCATCTTTAGTCTAGTCAAAACTTTTACAGCTCCATTGCTAAACATGCTCTTTCTGATATCCACTTCACACTGAATCAGTCAAGTCTAGTCTAGTCCTCGTCAGTCACGTTTAGTCAAGACGCAAATAGGCACAGGTTCTATTTTTCCGTCAGTATTTATAGGTCTAGTGTGGTATGGGACTTGAAGGCATGCGTGAAATGAGTTCCCAAGTGGAAGTACCAATATCTTTGGTTCGCGAAAGGCCTGAGATCTATGACTACATTCCAAATTCATTGTACACCCAACTCAACATGGACAACTGATCAAGAGTCCAAAGTCTTTTTATTCAACACAAAAAGTACTACTGACATCTGACATGGACTGAGATCGGATGGCCTAGCATAGGCATGGTCACAATCTTCAACGCAAGAGATGCTCTGCAAATTTTATCTGATGCATATTCACATTTTTGTGTGAAATGCGTACAAGAACCTGAGAAATAGCTAGTTTTTTCTGTGCATCTGTTGACTTGATGGCAATGTAATGTGTAATTTGAGAACATAATTACAAAGGAACTTGTTCATATGGTGACACAAGTAAATAAACCAAAAATGTTTGCAGGCAGATCACAAGCATGAGTAGAAACATTCCAAACCTCAGTTTCTGGTCTGCATTTTTACATCAACGCTCACAAAGTCACGATTGGTAGTCCCTAATACCATGCATACATTACACACCACCTTTCCAAGCACACAAACACAATTATTATGCATTCATCTGCATCATTCATAAAATTATAAAATACAGAAAATTTGTACTCCAAAAAACAGACTCCAAGAGAAGAAAATTTCATTCAGAAAAATCTGCAGCAAAAGCATCTCAGCTGTAATTTGTTTCTTTCCTTCTTGCGGAAGAAATGGGATTTAAAAAAAAAAAACAGAAATGAGTGAAATGGATAGCTTAGAGGGAACAATCCTCAAAGTGGCCACCACGAGAAATGGCAATGTCACCATACGAAGACTGCTGCTCAATTTCTATCGCCTGCTGTTTTTTCAGCACCAACAGGGTGTAGAACTTCTGTGCCACCTACAATAACATATCAAAGAAATAAAAATGATTGCTCAGCATTTTTTAAACTTCTGGTGAGTTGCCAGATGTTCATAAAAGGTGGCCCAACTTTCATCAGTCAGGCAACTTTTTTTTCGACTTGCCCTCTCTACAGCCAAAAACAGCTCAGGCATTGATAAACTCGCTCATAGGTGCATCTATGGTATTAAGATGAGCTAAGCAAACTTGCATGAGGGGGGAGGCTTCTTTCTTTGCTTTTCACTAACCAGACAACCACTACCAGCAAGTAGGTGAGAGGGAATTTTTCTGCATATAATATTATGTATATTATTCATCCATAGCAGAGAAGTCAGATAGTTGGTTTGCTATTCAAGAATTACACACAGCACTTCTCCTTCTCCCTCCAAAATATCAATCCTCCTCATTCAGCAGCCTTTGACTATCTAGGACATAGTACTCATCACTGCTGGTTTCTTTGATAACTCAATATCCCATTTGGCAAAAATTGCAAATTAAACATTATTAGAAATACCTTTTACCTATTCTAAGATGGTAGCCAAAAGGGCCACTTGTGAATTCAAGCATGTGCACCCAGACAAGATAAAGCATAAAAAGGGAGTTTACCTCCACTATCAGAGTTCTCAACACATTGATGCCAGGAAACGTAATATTACATTTTTAAACCCATATTGTACTGCAGTCACTGGGCGTGAAAGTGTTAAGTGGTTTTTCCAGCAGACCTTGTTAAGGTATATAAAAGCCAATATCAAAACTTTCTCTGCTAAACAATTCACCCATTATTGCACTCAGGCATTCTTGACAGGTAGTCCTACCAGCATATACTTGGGTCAGTAGCCAATTTAGGACCGTGATCGAAAGGGACTTGGGAATTACTGACTTCTCCAACTTATGAGAAAAGGGAGTGATGGGAGAGACAGTATGACATGTAGAGTGTTTAGCCTTCTGGGATGGAAGAGAAAATTAATTTAATTCAAGAATATGTTATTGTTTGAGGAGTGAGCTATTTACACATTGCTCTGTGCTGTTTGTGCACACACCTCTATTGAATGCTTACTCCAAGCATAATACAGGTGGAGGCCACTACTTCCAATGGCTCTCCCATAAGAGATCATGAGCCATATCTCATGTTTTTCAAATATAAAATTTACTCTTCCGTCAATCTACCCAATACTCAAGTGAAAACTGGGAAGCAAAAAACAGGTGTTTTTTTTCAGTTAGACAGTTGATAATTAGAAATCCAAACAATACTACTTTCAAGTTCAAAAATAAGCTTAAAAATATCTGTAAGCAACACATTCCTTCACCAAAACCAAAAGCCACCATGCATGTCTTCCTTTTGCACAAGCAAAAGAAAGTGACTCTCACATCACAGGACTGACCTGTTTTCTGTTGTTTCGGTGGGTTATGTCAGAGAAGTATACATTTTCCTGATCCTGAAGTTTGTCCTTCATTAGGGAATACATATGAAGGGCTCGCTTATTCAGGACACGCTCTTCATACTGTTCATAGGTCTCATCAGCTGCCTGTTCTTCTTCCACCTACAGCCCAGGCAAAAGAGGAGAACGTAATGTAATACCACTAATACCTCATGTACCACAACAAATATACCAGGGCATAAACAGCTTACAAGACACAAAGGAGCAAATGAACATGCAAGCAACCTGCAGATATGAGGACATCACTTACCGGGCCAACAGACATGGGGAAATCCAGGTCAATGAATGGAGTGTTGGGCTTCTCACTGAATGGAGTATTTGGCTGAGGCACAGACCAAGGAGTTGTAGGGGCTTCCACATCACGTGGTTGCTCAATTCTTTCACCTGGTGGTGGTTCTTCATATCCCATGTTGGCCATTTGCATACCTGGAGGAGGCAGCCTCCCTGCTTCATCCATCTGTCAAATGATGGATAAAATAAATTAATATGGATGTTACAGCAAAGAATATATTTGGCATCTTAACATCCATTTACTAATAAACATATCCAATTAGGCATCATCTCACATGTGGAGTTTGTAGTGGTGTTTGCTCTCCAATTTGTGGTAGAGGGTGCATAATCATTGCATGAGGCATTTCAGGTTCCATCACTGGCGGCTCCTGCAAAGTCACAATAATCACATTCCCAAAATGAAGTACTGCATCCTGATGAACACCTACCACCAGAAAGTACCTGCCCATTATCCAATATTACACTTTAGTCACTTCGATTCATACATACATAGTCTATACACACTATCACTTCTGTCCATACATCTACAATTCTTCCTCTTGATACCTTGTTTCTGTTATTTAAAAATCTAACATGGAAATCACATTTATGGCATCTCACAAGTGAAAGACTAAAAGGAAGAGTGGTCTATCTAGAAAGAAAAATTATTTTCTTGAGCTCCACATGGAAAGAATGGATATTCTGGTGATTGGTCTTCTTAAAATTAAGGGAAAATGGTATGAGAAGATAGACCAGTTTTTCATTTATACATATCCCAAGAACTACCACCTTCAACTACTGTATGTTCCAAAAGTCTCTTGCCAAATGGGATTATCATAGGTGCTTGAAGTGGTGTCCCTGCACCATAATGCAGTGTTCAACATGGCTATAGAATTCATCTCTGATGACTGCAAGTGTCTGGGGGGCAATTCCTAGGAATGTTTGTTGAGTCTGGTCCTTCAGATCATCGACAGATGTTGGCCATGTAGTGAACACGTGCTGTTTCATGCAGCTCCCACAGAAAAAAGTAAAGCATGTAAGGACCTGTGGCATGGCCACTGCATTCCCCAGATCTAACGCCCCAATAATTTTTTCAGTGGGGCTATATGAAACAGCATGTTTGCTATGTGCTGTGCTGTGTCTACACAGCACAGGAATTCAGAGTCTACCAGTCAATTAATGCAAGATGAAGTTCCATGATAGGTTATTGCCTAATGATCATTCACTTCTTTCTACAATTAGGCCTTGCCTAAGTTGGGATACACTGCCACTTCTAACAGTGTCATATCTTTGATCAACTCATCATCCAAACCCTGATCAGACAGAAATGTCACAAAACCAACTTACATGGAGTGTATCACTCTTGCGTTTACGACCACGCTTGGTGACAGTCTCAACCAGGGGTCCTAATAACTCGTCTTGTGCCTGGGCATCCCGAAGAGGTTCGATGCCCAGTTGATGATCATCAGGTAGTGGGAGATCTTCATTCTCTGCTGGTCTGGATGTCAGGTGACGTTGATACAACTAAATAGTGAAAAACAAGAAGTGCTTATATTAAATGCTTAAAGGCATTCATCAACACAATGGGAGAGCCCCCAATGAAAACACAAGCCTAAAATTCAGTGCCAGTGTTACAAGACAACTCCCTATTTGCTGAGTGTGCATCTAAGGAATAGTATGCTTCTGAATTTGACAAGCCTGGTCCTTGTAATAGTCAGGGTAATGACCTAACGGAGGGAGAAAATTATTTCATACAAAAAACAATACTTTCTACCAAGGAACATTATTTCATATGCTTTCATACTTTTCTTAGCAAGACTTCCAGGTGCAGATGATTAAATTAAATTCAAGACTGAAACGAAAAAAAAAAATTCAAAAGCAAGTGCACCATCCATATAGTGGGAATTTCAAGACCAGATTAACTGTCAAGGCAATGTCCTGGGCAACAACACAAATTTCTGAGTCTTGAGACTTTAGATTTTCAAATTCAAGACCTCTTTCAGCCAAACCCATTTCACTGAGTTTGTGGCAGCCTCTAGAATTGGGTGGAACAAAATAATAATTATTCCCTTGCAAAACATTTACAAACATACAATTTATACATGTCATCCCCTCAAGTTCTGGTAAGTTCAATAAGGGCAGAATAAATAGAATGCAGGCCTATCTATCATTCCATACATTGTAAAAGTTGGATTGAGGGATTGACAAGGTGAATTCATGAGACAGTGAGTAGAGTTCAGAAAATTGGATTATAACTCTCATGCAGTACATGCAAAAATGAAATAAAAATTATCCATACAATATCTAAAACATTGGAAACCACTTTAAAAAGTTCATTGTTGGATAAACAGGAGCTTTTCAATAACCAGATCTAGACTCAAAGCATGATGCCTAGCCTTTCCATGACAGGAGGCAAGGAGAAATTTATTCTGCCCTCTGGGTGAAGAACTGAAATTCACAACAATTATTGCATGTAAAGGAGAGAAAAGAGAGAGGCAACCCCAGCTCTTCCTGTTTATCAGATTATCTTTTCTTCTTACTTCCAATCTCACATTAGGTAGCAAATATTTCTGGGAACACTACAGTATAAAAATGATGTTCAGGTCTGTGACAAGCCAGTTATATACAGGGTGGGCCATAAATATTAATACCAATCGTAGCTTTCCTATTTATGTACACCTAAAAACAGCAAAGAAAAAAATGTTTTGCACCTCTATGTGAGTGTCTTTATGCTGGTCAACCTTGTTTGTTTTGACATGAATCCTCTTCCACCAAGAAATAGGTTGAGGTTAAAAAAATGGTCTGGTTGACCATGAAGCAGAAATGATCAAAGAATAAGAATGACCCCCACATAACTCTGACCATAACCAAATGGATTACTGTATGCGATGTCTGCTGGAAACAAGTGCCCATAAACAAAATCCTATGACCTGAACCAGTTAAGGTTTGTACTGAAAGAGGAGTGAAACCATGTCTGTCCAGTACAATCAACTGACATACTCAAAGATTCAAGGTTGCCATCAATAAGAATGCGGACACATTAAACTTATTTTGTGAATAGTTACTGTGAGTCTTTGTGTCTTGTTGAGATTCAATTGATTCCATGAGATGTTATTAGTGCAGGAAATAAAAGACTTTGATTTGGTGTGGATATTTATGGCCCACCCTGTAGCTATCCAAGGGAGATTTCTGAATTACATGCGAAAGAAATTCAGAAGTTTACAAGTTATCCTCATACTGCATGTGTTCCCTACCTTGACTTGATTTGATGTAATTCTTTGCAGATATGTTTCATTGCTCAATTACATGTTCCAAGTCAATATTTAAATGTTTAATTTACTATATATCTTGCCAGGCAAAATGTTATTACTGGTACAAGAACAGAGAGCAAGAACTAACTTTGAATATGGCCTTGCCCGGAACAGCTCTTCCATCCAGAGCAAATAGTTTCTCCACTCCGCCAGTTTCTTTCCAATGCATCAAGCGTTTGGTAGGTGGGGCTAGATCAAGTGTTGTTACAATATCACTTGTATCACTCAATTGAGCTCGCATTTCTTCACCTGTGATATTCTTCACCTCATCTACAATCAACTTGCGCTTCCTCTTGTGTCGTGGCCAACCTGCAATGTTGTACAAGGGATGTAAATTATAAAATATTTGTTTCTTCCTTTTCTTTAACATACAGCAATGAAAGCTACAATTCAAGATTCCCATGTAAGAAAACGGGAAGTGGGCCTTAACGGCAAGCTCCCATTCCCTTACCTTGAAGGCATCTCACTTCTATCAGCAAATGAGATGCTTTGTAGTACTACCTCAATGTCCCTCTCTGGGAAATATTGGAAAAGGCCTACAATTGACTATTGAAAAGCTACTGAAGAGTACTAAATAAATTGATGATAGCAATGAACATCCATTTTATACCCTGTACAAGGGGGGTTCAAAAAGTTCTGTGACTCAACTTGTAAATTTCAAATGACTATTAATTAAAACAATTATATATTTAATCATTCAAAAGTACTCCCTCCCAGCATCTATACATCGCTGCATCCTCATCAGTCAATTCTGGAGAGCCCCATAGTACTCACATGCAGGGATAGATTTTAGGGTTGAATGCGAGGCCGAGTATGAGGATGGTTAAAAAAGTTATGCAAATTTATCATGCTGTTTGTAAACAAGAATGGTAAAAATTGAAATGCTACCACCATTGGAAAGAATAGGCTTTGTTGTGTAGATAAGGCCCTAGAAGAGCCTCTCCTATTCATTCAAAAGTAAACAAATATAATACTCTGGTTCAGGACCTTGCTCAATCAGTGAATTCAGCCCTAAAATCTATCACTGCATGTGAGTACCATGGGGCTCTCCAGAATTGGTTGGTGAGGCTGCAGTGATGTACAGATGCTGGGGGGGGAGTACTTTGAAGGATTAAATATATAATTGTTTTAATTAATAAAGTCATTTGAAATTTACAAGTTGAGTTGCAGAACTTTTTGAACCCCCCTTGTAAAAACATGGCACTAACTGGTATCTTCATACCTTTGAGAGCAGAGGCATCTACAGGAGCCAACGCAAAGCTCTCATCTTCATTGTGAAGAAGAGTTGTTTGTTCATGATGAGATGTCTCAGCAGGGGGAGGTGGTGGTGGCATTGAGAGAGCATCAGGAACTTGAACTGGAGGTGGTGCTGGAGGTGGACTACCAGGCCGGGAACCACCATCAGAACTGCATGATAAAATATCAACTTTAGACTGACTTGAAAATACCAAAGAATACTCAAGGGGTACTATAATCAGTACTCATGACCCTTTTAAAGACAAGAGAGGAAGTGAAACCTTCACCTTCCACCAACAGATGGAGGCCCAAAATCTCCCATGAACCCAGAATGATCATCATCACTGTCAACATTCTTGTTTGCATCAGCATCCCCAACAGGTGCTGATGGTAAAGATAGGTCTCCCACTGGAACTTCATCAAATAGCCCTGGACCCAGGAGTCCATTTGCTAGAAAGAGAAGAGGAACCACAATGAAAACTCAAAACTCAAGAGTGATCACATTTGTTAATAAATATTAGATCCCCACCATCTAGATGACCCAACCCAACATCAGGCAGGGGATGCTCAGGTGCAGCAGAAGCATTGTGAGATGCTCTATGGCCAGGCAAATGACTCATTGAATCTCCTGGATGAAGAGAGCTCTCTCTACTCTTTTCTGGTTCAGGATGCTCTCCTATCAAATTGCTCTGTCCTGACTGCTCAAATAACATGACAGGAACTCATAAACACAACAGTACCTTCCAGAAAGCTGCTAAATCATTAATACAGTACAATATACAAAAGAGAAAATAAAGCTAAGCTAAAAAGAGGATCATAAGCAAAATCATACTTGTTCAAATGTCTGCTCTCGCACAAACTCTGCTGGTTCTCCAAATCCCATGCCTTCTTCAGGTCCAAAACCCATATCACCAAATCCATCATCAGCTGTGACAAGTGAGAGATTCCCATAGTCTTCTCTCATGGTTATCTCTTCTGCACGAGACTGGTTCAGTGAAAACTGGGCTTGGATATCAATGTCACTGAAAGGTAAGCATTGTAGGCATTCAGTAATACCTTCTGGAAAAAGTGAAACACTCCCTGAAAGTCAGTCATGAACTCACTTCAACTCAGGCATGGTAGTATCAAAGTCATGGAAGACCTCAGGGAGTGTGATGGCCTTTACTGCTGCTTCCTTGCTCTCTTCTGGCAAATCAACCATCCCTGGCCTGTAATAAAATCAGATCAACATGTGTAAATGACTGAGAAAGAGTCTAGCCAATTAGTCTTGATCATACCGTACCTAAAGGCCATTTTGATTTTGACAAATGCCTCATTGCAGTCAGCAAGAAGGTATTTTGCTTTTCGGGAGTAGATTCGTACAACACCCAGCAGTAAATGTCCTGTGGTACGCAGGGCTAGCTTCACCTAAGATAAAGAAATAAATGTTAAAGTTATTACAACAGCTCTTGACTTATACCATAGCCATGAATCATGACAATGGAGACAGTGCAACTTAACAGTGATGATACTTCTACATGGGTAGAAGTATCACCACTGACTCAATCAGATCACAATGACTCAATCAGATATTCACAATTTCCTATGGTGCAAAGGTGAGGGCATATCTCCCATGATGGAAATGACACTAGACCTATGGAGCCCTTGATGGTTCCTGTCAGCAATGAATGCATCAAATATGTCACCAGCAGTTAACATAGGTTAGAATCTTAGCAAGACTCCTTACTTTTGAAGTAAAAAAAAGGGAGACTTTTTTATACTCCCCAAGATATTCATGTGTGCATTTCTCTGAGCATGTTAACCTGAAGCTTTCATCACTGAGTAATATTACAGCTCCAAATTTTTGCATAATTTTGCAACTCACAAATGCAAGAAACTTCTATGAGTTCTATTTGCCTTTTTTTTATTATATAAAAATCTCTTTCAGAAACAACAAATTTACTATATTACAGATCTGGTATTGGGAAACTCTTACAGAGGAGCACTGAATGTAGTGACCTCTAAGCATGGAACGATGTATGATAACATATACAGGCAAATTTATGTTCACATACATACCTCCAATTAAATAATGAAGTGTGGTTGTATGAATGTCAACATATATGTTACATTAGGTAATGTACATGCAGGTTAATTGTCAAACAAACATGTTAAACAAACTTATGCCATCATATATGCATGGTCAAATGAAAACCCCCATTTTAAATTTACCAAATTTTAAATATGAAGTGTCAAACATGCAGCATTCATTCACATGTGCATCAGGTCATACATGCCAAAACTAAATGTCATAACATATCTATGTATTGACATGGTTACCCAGTTTGAAGGAAAAAAAAAAAGGTAGGACATACCTTGGGGCTCAGAATTCCTTCCACACTTTTCTCTATGTTGGTTTCAAACACATGAGCTTTAGTGAGCTTCTTGTCCCAATGGGCTGCCAGCCAGACACGGGCTAGCTGCCCTTTCTTGCTCAAGATCACAGGAGTGTAGAACATCCTAAATTTCAAATATACTTTACAAATTTACAGTAACTTATTTATTCTTGCTTCATCCAAGCTCATTTCAACCACCACACATGGTCTCAAGTCATCATTCTAAAGAAGAAAATCAATGATAACAATTATAGGTATTATATTCCTTCACTCAAACGTTGATGGAATGGAGGTCAGAAAGTCATCAAACACAATACAATTAGAAAAGCCTCCATACTGGCTGCTGAACACATGCATAGTTATGGCCTTAAACTTATGATTCTACTCCACTTATGTAGAAAAAATACATAAGTTCAAAGAACTATCATTAAAACCAGTTAAATGTGATTTTACAGGGTGACACAAAAGTTCTGTACACTTTAAAAAACTGTTCTCGATTCTAAGCTACCACGTTCATATATGCTTGGCTTGGTTTCTACACGTAGCTTAAGGTACACGCGACTTAGGAGATTCTCAAAGTGCTGATGAAACTATCAGTTTTGTCATGCCATTATCCAATGAAGATCGTTGGTCGGCTGTGATCAGTTTGCACGAAGCTGGGAAGTCTCCCACCGAGATTTTCCGACTGCAGCATCAGAAACACACTTACACCAAGGGACTGAATAAGAATCCCTGAAGCGTGCCCTTCAAACGGAATGGATCAAAATCCCCCAGGAAACCCTGCGTGCCGCAGTCGACGCATTCCGAAAGAGACTTCGCGATTGTGTTGCAGCAAAAGGTGGTCATTTTGAATGAATTTGCAGGCATTATCTGTTGAAATGGTTGTAGTTTCTAATAGCGTTGTCCCCATTTGTAAGTTCTTTAAAAATGGTTATAAAATGTTGAGATAACTGAGTGTACAGAACTTTTGTGTCACCCTGTATGTCATTCACTCTAGTTCCAATTTAGCTACAATTATCAGTTCTCTAAATTGAAGTTAAGCCTCAGTTTCTGATCAGGTTATTACAGCCCCATTAATAGGGATTCCACTGAAAATACTGGTAAACTTATTCAGTCCCTTGGTGTAAGTGTGTTTCTGATGCTGCAGTCTCACATTTCAGACACATATGAAACAACTTTACCTAAACTTCTCCTGATATCTCAGATTCTACTCAAGTCAGAATACCTTTTAATTTTTCAATAAAGCCACAAAGTGGATTCAACATCTTTGCTAAGGAAAACTTTCACGGCAAAAGTCTACTAAGTCTACTATAGCTTGGCCTTGCCAATTTAAGAGCGTGCCTTCAAGTCAAGCCACAAGTAAAGTACACCTACCCATAATGTTAGGCCTGATATGTATACCCACAAAGCAATGGATAAGTTCATACCAGCATCAGAGTAAAGTCCAGCAAAATTCATCAGTATAACTTTAAAGGCAGTGTCTATTGGCCGAGCTGGCTCAGCCCTGACTTAAGGGACAAGCTGGAAAGTCACCTGACTCCTGACATCTCAATTCTTAGACCATTACTCTATAGAAGAGAGCTCGGCCTCTAAGTTATGGCCAAGCTAGCTTTTTGAAGTGGAAAAGAATTTGTATGGTTAGGCTAAAGTTTTAAAATATGTGTATACTAGAGTGATAGCTTTCATCATATTCCTAGTGATGTATGTACATCTTTTTCAGCAGCTTCAACCAAAGAGTAACTATTAAGATGAAGGATTCGACAAAATCCCTAAAATCTAAATAGTTAGGGTAGAGGGCTCACTCAAGGTCCTACTTGTGTAGAGAGAAGAGCCCTTAATGGGTGATTTCAAAAGTTGATTTCAATTTACCCATGTTCCAACCCAAGACATCTTAAATTAGTTAAGTTGCATGTCATCTACTTCCTAACATGACATGATATAACACCTTTTAAACAACCATGATATACTACAATAATGAAGAGGTCTAGTTTTGTGCTGACAAGATGAAAAAGATTGCTCAAAAGTCGTCTCACAAGGCAAACGAAGCAACTTCCTCTACCTTGCAAGACATGCCTGTGTTTGGTGGGCTGCAGGAAACTGTATTATGTTAGTAGTGATGTTAGAGGTTATTATTCCCAGCTCGGCCAATAGACACTGCCAACTTTGAATGGTTCCCACATTAGATGAAATGTCTTGGTGGTTACAAGCCACATACATAGAGCATTCATAGTGTATGCTGCTGTAGCCATACAGTACCACTTTTGCTCAAATAACGGTAGAATACACTCCAACTCCGTCGTACACTCAACTTCGGCTTCAAGTTCGCTTCCGCCTAACGTTAGGCTAGAGTACTCCTTAGGCTAAAATATATTAACCTTGCTCCGATATTCCATCCTCTGAGACTGAAATATACTATCTCACGAATGAAAGATGCCTAACGTTCCCGAGACAAAATCATCACGTTGCCTAATTCACCAATGCCAACGAACATGCCAAGTTTGGAACATCCCATCCTACGGTTACGGCATCGAGCGAGGTCGATTCCCTCCATCAGTGCTGGAGTGCGTCGACAGTGTTGCCACGCTACGCAGTTTACAGTACGGCCACTCGTGATTACAATAGTGCAGGGCTAAACAAATGAATGCTCCTTCATTGATCAATAGCCATGATAAATTATTCTTTAAATGTACATTTTATAAGCCGTTTGAATTATCTAGCCATATTTGTAATCATCACCGATTACCATTTTTTTTTTCTTTTTAACACGAACGTAATGCAATCTAAATCTTGTGACAGCAATGAAGAAAAATATTCCTCATCCGGAAATCTTAATCTCAACTGGTCTTTAGCTCACAAGATATGAAGACTACTCTTCATCTCTACGGCTTGTCCATACGTGGAAGCAGGGATGTCATTTCGGGGAATATTTTTTTTAGGGGGTTGGGAGGGAGAGAGACAAGCAGCTGTGAAATTGGTTCTAAAGAAACAAAGAAAATAAAGAAGTTGACATTCAATTTGGGTTTGGAACTATTTTTTTTTTACACTGGAGCAAGGAAAGTGATGCAAATGTTTTGTCCGTGAGTTTGATGAATACCGAATGTGTGATGCCTAAATTTACTTATAAACAAAGAAACGGATCATTCCAAAATAAATAACTTTTTCGTTCAAGAAAATGTAAAAAATTACGGTGCCTCTTGTGTCATGAGCAAGACGGGAGTGTTGTTGCTCACAGCAGAAAAAGCATAAGACTCTTCGTGGGGAGACAGATGAAGCACCAGGCAGCAGGGATCTTACCATTCGCAAATCAGGAGAGCGTTGCAGTCATTTTGATGAAAAATTTACCGAATTTGATATTCGTTTCATCAAATGAGCGTGACCCCATGTGATGCAGTAGAGTTAAAACCTGAGTCAAATTTACACAAGATAATAAAATAGTTCTTAGCTGTTAGCATGCATCAGATGATCTTCTAAAACTATGCTGAAAGTGATTCGCAATAGGGTAAAATCATCTAAGTTCGGATTGTTATAAAACAAAGCATTAGTGAGCTATCCCACAGAAACAGTTCTTTACAGCTTGAAAGAGCTGTAAAGGTGACTTGGCAAATGCTTTGATTTATAACAATTTATTTTATGATGTCCGAACTTAGGTACTGTCTGAACTTAGATGGTTTTACCCTAACTCGCTCATTCTGGAGTAACAAAAAAAAGTAAGGAACGTTACACTCTTGGCTGCAATGCTTGTGAGCCAAACTCCAGTCACTTAAATGAGTCATTTTTTGGGTCGATTCTGATTCAACAGTCATTTTCTTTACAGTCATTCTTTGTTAACGGATTTCCATATCAGGTCCCGCCTCAAAATCGGCCAGGAATAAATTGTTGTGCCACGAAAGGGATTTCACCTCTCCGGGAACGAATACGATAATCGTTTATATGAATTACCTGGAGCCCGGGTTAACGCACAATTTTCGGCAATCGGTAAGAATTAATGATCGAAATAGGGCAGAAACTGGATACTTCATGTCAATCAAGTTTTCTCTGCCCTCGACGAGGCTGCAGATTCGATCACGATGCTGAATGGGAGAACACGGGAGATCGCGAGAACGACGTCGTCCGGCATCCGCTCCTCCTCTCCCATCTCGCTACCGATTCTGGGCTTCCTCGATCGCGTCGTCAGTCCGATCCGCGCCGGGCGCTTTCCCCCCTTTTACCTTCTGCGAGAAAATCTGGACTGGGGTTCAGCCTGAACCGAAGGCTTATGCAAGTCTGGCTCGGAAAGATTTGCAGAGTAAACTTCCCAGCCTGTCTTAGCGAACAATTTCTTTTGTTTCGACCAGCAGTCCGTGCTAAATGGCTAAAATTATCCCAACCAGGAACTGACAAAAAAAAGTAATTAGTTGCAATTAACAATTGGCAAAAAAAGAGCATAATTTCCAGCTAGCAATTGTATCAAGTTTCAGCAATGCCAATCCATGCGAGTCATTATTTATTAACCTAATCAACGTTAGACTCTGCCATGGAGTGATGGAGGTCGTTCTTCTGACAGATCTTCCACTTGATATTCAGCTTCCACGCGTGGAGTTTTCCTGTAGTTTCCCACTTGAGCTCGATACGTCAGACATCCATACATGGCCGCTCGCAGCATGCGTGTCAGTTGATGAGGGGTCGATCTCGGGGATCGTGGGGAATAAATTGCAGGGGGTCTTCTATATCAGTGGGATAACCCGATGAATAGGCTAAGTAACGATCGCAGAGTACACAGAGGAGAGTGGTTAATTGGGTTCAGACCTTCTTCCTCTACCCCCACCCTTCATCACATTTCGATTCCGATCCATACATACAGTGGCGTAGGCAGAAAATCGGCAAGGGGGGGTTGAGGTAGGGTGACCAGACGTCCCGATTTAGGTGGGACAGTCCCACTTTCAGACCACATGTCCCGGTGTCCCCGATGAAGTAAGCGGGATGCCCAAATGTCCCGCTTTTGGAAAATGTCGATGACAGAATGATACGACGGTTGAATTTCTTGCCTTGCGAGTTTCAGAACTTCTAAACATATTGCTTAGGAGCTAAACCAAGAATATCATGAAATATCATGATTATGAATAGCATATCTTGAGTTTTTTTTTATCCATGGCAACTGCTTAGATATAAATTGGCAATGGGAATTCGGATTATCGAACAGCTAATGAGCCTAAAAACATGCTAGTTCTTGTTAGCAGGCACCTGCTCGTGCGCACTGCAGACGGCGAGGCCGGCCTCACTGCCATCGTTTGCCATCTTCGCTCACTGCCATCGTTTACTTTCATATTGCATGAACAGTGATACACCGCATACCTCGTAGTTGTCTCTGAGTCAGGGGAAGCCTCCAGGCTCTGACTTCCCATCCGCGATTCCGGACAGGAGTCAACTTTCAGAGACTGAACTCGACTCGTTTTGCGTCGATTGAGAATGAATTTAATGGTTCTCAGGGATTTATTTCAGATATTTGATATCTCAATAGATGTTTTCAAATTGCATGGGAAAGTGACTCCTGAGAATTTTTGAGGAGGCCGAGCCTTCCCCTTGCCAAAAATGTGCCAAAACCCCTGCTTGTTGCAGTAAAGTGAAAATGTCACGGAAGTTTTTTGCACATGTGAAGCTGCTGACATTTTTTCTGAAAACGGAAGGACCGCGACTCGGATGAAAGTCACGAATAACGTACAGGTTAACGAATTTCCAGTTGCATGCCTGCGCAGTAAAATCTGGGCTGAATCCCAAAATTAACTCTGTTCATCTTTAGCTTTGTTTCAAATTTCGAATGCGCTTGTATTATTTATTGTTTAAATTCTGTCTCCACCATTTCATGAAAGATTTTTGTTTCGTTTTCTATGTTCGCGTGTTCGACGTCGTTTCGCATTTTCCTCTTCTGGTGATTTGATAACGCCTTCTTGCATCCGGAGACATTTGAAAGACAAGTTATACGAACTTTCCCGAAACTCCCTCTTTAGGGCTGGTTGCGCTACTGTAGATGCACAATTAAATAACAGCTCTATTTCATGTTTGGCAATAATAAATACAATTGTCAGTCCAACAAATGCATTTATATTCTTTTTCGAGAGGCAAGGGGAAGTATTCATTGGGCGTCCCACTTTCGCGACACAGAAATCTGGTCACCTCATACTACAGTCTAATATTCAACCAAATTAAGCTGAGGATTAGGAGGTGGTCAGGAATATGAAAGTTCCCGTAGAAAAGCCTTTGCATGGCGAAAGGTCACATTTCGACGGCATCGAAACCCTAACTCCCTTGCCTTCCCTTATTTTTTTTTGTTGCTGATACCTTTTTCCTTGTCAATTCCTTGTTAAATAATTAATAACGCAACTTTTTCTTCCTCTGGCAACATTGACAGTGACAGTTCAATTGTCGGTAACTGACGGGACGGAAAACTGAAAAGGCATTGAAGTTGGCGAATTGGTTCTCACGACTGTGAAAGTTCCCATCTAAATATTTGTTTTTACAATGTTTCAGTTGATGTCACGTGAAGCTAAACATCAATATGACTACTGGGTAACGTCGCCATGTGAGAATCAAGGGGACGTACTCCGGATATATTTATTATTATTATTATTTATATATTTTAAGTAAATAAAAAATATAAGAAAATATTATCGGCTGATCGGGGATTCGTTTTCTTGGTTCTTTCTATTCTCCTATGAAATCAATTCACCTCTTGGTGTTCACCATTTCAGGAGTAACAGATGGGCATGTATGGATGATTCAGCCGCATTGCATTATTTTGGCGAAAAAGCCTTCAATGTAGTTTTAACTGATACGTATGTACTCTGCAGATTTATAGCTTTTCAAGGACACAAATGATTTTTGTTCAATATCAATTAATCAGTGCTGCACAAAATCAGCAATATTGGCCAGCTGGGATCCATTTGCTTTTCTTCTCTCCCGTCATCTGCAGCTTTAGTGATACCTGTAAAACAATCACATTCTCCTGATTCTCCTCTATGGAATTGAACTATGAATGTCACCAAGCAAGTTGAACAGAAAACTGAAGCTATCTGTTAGGAGGGATCTATGCTACAACTCCCATTGATGCGAAGTTCACTGGTTAGGACAAATTAATAAAGTCCCTTTCTGCTACCCCAAAAAGGTAATAGAATGCCAGGAATTTTCAACTTTTGCATGAGACAGCCTTAACTGAGACCTAATGGTTTTAGGTCTCAGATTAATAGCAACTGCAGGTGATGGACCGCACAAAATTACTAAGCGCTTAATAGTTGCTTTTGTTTTTTAGATCTACCCAACCAAAAATTCCAGCTGGATCTGAAAGCTTGAACCAGCATGGTTTTCCCACCATAGATATGGCTTGTGAATTCAGGTGGTTCCAGCATGGAACCACTTGTAAAAGTTTACCTGGTTCCATTATGGTTTTTAGTTAGACATCCAGCATCATGAAGCCAAGGTGGCAACTGATATGAAAACCAACGTACATCTACCATATAACCATCAGGGCTATATTTGAAAGACACAAATAACTGGGGGGGGGGGAATTCATTAAAGTTGTTGCTAGGGCATTCAGCACCTAATTGCCCACATATCCAAGTAACTTCAATGCTGATCCCTCCTCAAGTCCATCTTTTTCTAGAGATCAAGCATGTCATATTTTTCAATTGCTGGGACACTTCTATTTCTGATGTTTTTCCTTTTCAGTCTCCTTTAATAACTACCTAAAGCAGGAGAGACGTCACATGAGTTATTTGTTGTTTTGGCTATAGTATTCTTAAATTACTTAGGTGTCACTAATTAAGTGCACTGTAATTTCAATTTTGCCTTAGTCCTGTACTGAAAAATCTGGACTCCATGATTAAAGAGGTTAGGTCGGTCAAGGGCAATATTTTGCAAATTGTACAGACCAGGCGTGGCCAAACCTCCTGACCTTATGAGCTGCATAACAAAATATTCTGGTGATGGAGAGCCATAAGACACAC